AGCAAGGTGAACCCGCTCACAGACTACCAAGTCAACAAAGAAGTACAGCGATGAACACAATGAAGAACCACAGTGAAAGGCAAACGCACTTTACATAAGAAAGTCTGAAAAGGTCACCAGAACGTTTGTGGGAAGGACACACGTGGTTTTTAACTTTGAACAATCAGACCAAAAGGTGAACAAAGACACCACCATGTTACCACCCCAGGAAGCGAATAAGAATTGCCACTGACTATGAATTAATTCTAAATCAATTATGCTCTAATGAAACTCTCTACAAAACAGATACGATTCACACACCTCAGTGTCATCAGCAGAACAGGACTGTTAATGAATGTTTTTCTGGAACTTCTTTTAAAAGTTGAGATCTCAAATTACCATTCCTCTCCCATTCCCCCTGGACAGCCTTTACACAGGACAGATAAAAGGGGAACTTCTCATCCACAACCACAGAGCATAGCAGATTTCAAAGACAAATATCAATGCCTTATCTTCTGATTTTTGGCACGAATCTTATAATTTAGAGTTATTTCCTACTTGACAATTCCCAACAGCATATCTTATTTATTTACAGAAAGACAGGAATTAACAACAGCTCATGACATTTTTATTTTAATGAAATTTAAAAAGGCAGTTATTAGTTATACATACACACAACTGATTCTGTACTTGTTAGTCATAAATATAGAACATTCAGAAGTACAAAATACACTTTATCCACAGCACAATTTCACATCAATATGAAGAGTTTAAACAGATAAGTAACCAAGTGCCTAACAATGACAGAAGCCCATTTTTGGAGTTGTTTTATTTTGTATTTTTTTTAATTTTATTTTTTTTAAAGACCATTAATCTACACAAAGTAATCAGTGCCCGCTGTCATCAGTTCCATGAAATGCACTCTGGTTTAAAGTAGGAAAAGACTGACCTTTTAAAGACAATTAGATGCCATCACCTTTTCTTCGCTCCATTAATAGAAACAAAACCAAGCCCACATTCTCCTCTTCTCAGAACTAACAACTGTGAAAAATGGGACTCTGGCAAAAATCACCTGAAGCCAAACTTGAGCACTGCCAGGAAAAGTGAAAATATCTGAACTAGAAATTAGTCCACTCGATACCTTGCAAACAAAGAGCAACAGCAGTATGACACTGATAAGGCATTAATGACAAAATGGCTGTATTATTCTCGAAAAAAGAGTACACCTATGTATAAAAATATATGTCATAGCAATTGGGTAAATCCAACACTATTTAACACTGTGCCAAAAGTAATTAAGAGTTAAAAAGGCAGTACTGCAAGAAGTATTTACAGTTTCATACTGTACTTCAAAAGAAAAAAAAAAGCAACAAAGCTACAAATGGAACTATCTAGTTAAAGCATCACGTAGGTACTGCCAGTAGCACTTGTAATAAGTAATGTGATGGAGTCCCTCTTGTTAAACAGGATTGCTTGTCTGAATAAATGAATGTAAATATTTTTAGATATTTTTAGTATCTAAAATCTTCTCAGTCTACATGCCTGCTCATTGAAATAACTCACCCAGACCATTACTATTTTCAGTTTCTTGCTCCATCAGTTTAAAACCCAAAAGATTCAGTTTCAAGAAACACTGTGTTTGCAACACAGTTTGATCAGAAATCACAGCTTTATTTCCAGCTTAAAAACCACAAAAGAAACAAGAAATCCGCCACTTTTGAAATTCTGGAAACTGGCAGCCAAAGTGCCGGCAAAGCTACACCAAGGGCACGTAATAAAAACGTCAGCATTCCAAACGCACTTTAGAACTTCAGCTATAGGATAATTAAGTTGCTTTAGGAACTAAACACAAGACGGAGAGATACAGCACAGCCAACGCTATACAGCTTTTTCGGCCACAAGAGCTGGGACGAGGCTGTTTGAGAGGAGCAAGCCACTGACACGACGGCAGCGCACGGCGCGGGATGCCCAGCAGCGGTAGCAAAGGCTGAACTTGCTCGTTCGCTTGGTCAGAAGCACAAAGTTGCCAAACTTCCAGCTCATTAAGCGCTCCCTCCTCGCTGGCTCAGGAACCGCAACTCAACGCCTCCCACATGGGTGTGGGAAAACGCTGCGGAGATGGGATGACCGGGAACGGGAGGGGAGGTAAGGAAGGGTGGAAACGCCAAAAAGAAAACACTGGCTCGGGATGGCAGAATAGAAATGGGGGACAATAATGGCTCACAGGGAAACCCCAAACCTGGCACTATCCAGACTGCCCCTTAACAGAGTAGCCATCACCCTTCCCAACCAGAAAGGCAGGAGTGGTCTACAAGGTGAGAAGCAGTCCGTGCTCTGATGCCTCAGGCATATTGGCTTCAAAAAAATAATACTGTATTTAAAAAACAACAACGAAAAAGAGAGAGATGTGCTTGAATTTCTGCTAACAGTGCACTTCTAACTGCACAACCAAATTCAGTACACGAGAAGCTTTCTACAGTAGTATAAAACCCACAACACACTGAGGAAGTTATCATCGCTGATGTTAGGAGAAACAAAATTACTTTAGAAAACTTATTTTTAGATTGAATTCAGGAATAAAAGTAAATTATAAACATACTTTGAGCAGTTGTTGGGTAAAATAAAACAGAGGAATAGCATTTTTTCAATTCATTTTTCACCTTAGAGAGAAATGCTTGTTAAAAATTTTACAAGAACTGACATTCATCATGTCAAGTGTCTTCTGTGCAGAGATATAAACTGCTCATCTACTGCTCCCTCCCTCGTGATCAGCCCCTTTTAACAGCATGTCCTGCCGCAGAGATGCTGACTGCCTCGCTCCAGCCAGCGCAGCATCTAGGCACCTTTTACAGACATCAATGAACTTCATTCTGGGACAGCAGAGCTCTGCCTACATAATTCAATGAGCAGTCATTCATCCGAGCAGCGTGAGCGGAAAGGGGGAAGGCTCCAAGAGAATAAACATCCATGTATTCAAAAGAATAGTGTGTAAGCGCATGGCTTGCTCAACTAAGAAAGTATTTTCCCTATTTCTGCGAGAGAAGAGATATGAGGTTTTCTTGTTTGTTCTCAGCGTGATTTTGGTGAGGCAAGTACAGACCAGGAGATCTGAGGCCTCTCCAGTACTGCATCTAGAGTGATAAAAAAATTCCCTAAAAAAGAGAGTCCCTAGCCCCACTTGCACGTAGGGTGAGAGATTGGTCCCAGATTTAGTGAGAGAAACAGTAGGAAGGACTCTTCATGGTTACTGAAAACTACATGCTGTTCTCAGAGAAGGCTGGAATACCAAAGTCAGATGGGAACACTACCATATGTTACCTGCTAAAGTCATGTCGCTGGATCGTGTTCACCGCAGCCCAGCTGCCCGTGTTGCTTGTCAGTATGAAACCTGTGTGGCCAGAGCAGGCTGCAGGACAGGGGCCTGCCTGCTTTCCAAGATACTATCCTGACAAGATGGACTGTAGCGTGTTCATGGTGCCTCCCGTCAGAGGCACCCCAGAATTCAAGAGGAGCTACGAGAAGCCAGACCTTAGTGCTCTGAGGTCGAACAATTGCTGCAGACATTGAGATCTTCTAGATGGGGGCTATGCCCTGGAGTTGCTGTTCCGAGGTCTGTGATGGCCCCTGAACACGCAAAGGCTGAGGGAAGCTGCCCTCTTCCTCCTCTGCGAAGGAGGAGGTTGGCTACCTCTGTCTAACCTTGAAGGTTCCGAACAACCTGCACGCGGGAACTCTGGGCTCCTTGCCCTTTGTGAGCGATTCCTTCTCCTCCCAGAGAAATGATCTAGCTAAAAATCCTGACCTTACAACCCAGCCTCTGTAACTCATCATGCATACGAAATACTGAATGAAAAACTTTCTACCACGATTCTGATGAAGACATACAGTAGGTGACTTGCCCAAGAGGAAGGTGATTAACTTACCTCTGTGGAAAAGCATATAGCACTCAGAACAGTCAAGAGTCCTCAACATACTTGATAAGCTGAAAATCCTATATTTAACAGAATGGGGTTAACAGGGTTTGACAGAAGTGATTGCTTGGGAATCCAAGCAAAAAATTCAAGTTATCACTGTGTACGCAGTGGACACCAGTCCAACTGATATATCTACCACCAACTCACTCTAAAAAAATCATACACTACAAAACCATCTCACTGCTTGCAGCAAATGAGCTTGAACGATTTCCTAGTAATAGGCCACCACCTTGCACTGTTAAAACGTGAGGTTTCACAGTATAAAAAAGTACTTCACAGAAAGGAAATGCAGCTAATATAGAAAATGCAATCTCGATGCGTTTACAGTCATTTTTTATGAGGCAATATTTTTGGGAAAGCAAGAACAATAGAAATAAAAGCAGCCAGTGAGAAATGTATAGTTATAGGCCTCAATTCAGTGCAAAAACAGACTAATAGCTTATGTAAGTAAATGTTTGTTCTGAATAGAGAACCACCTGAATTAAAAGTAAGAACACCTATGTGAGGTGATGGAGACTCCCACGATATCTAAATCCTTGACATATATTGTCAACCTTTCAATACACTCCAGAATGGACCCTTTGTAAAGGCAAAAGAAACCAGTACAAGAAATCACTTCATACAGCACAAGATATACATAAAGTACCAAAATGTACACACATTCAAGTTTAAGTTAGAAAAGGCGGAGCTGAATCTTCTGGTGAGAGAGGCCTACGTTATGTTTCTTAATCTCACACTTAAAGTGACCTAAAAACTACAAGAATCAAAGAAAACAGAATATTGCGTCTGCTTCCAGAAACTTAAGCTTAAAGCAAGGCATCGAAATTGAGCGGTAGGCACTGTAACAAGACATCACCTTACCTTTCTCTGTTAGTCTTTGTTACTTTGTTAATCTATTTAAAAATTACCATTCAAAAGAAATATTAGGTATCATTCACATTCAAATATTTAAGACTCAGAGATTATTTTTTTTTTTTTAAATCAAGCGAAGTTTTTCATCTCTGAGGTAGATGACAATAATAAAAAAAAAATTAAAATGGAGCTGTCAATAAACACTAACAAGTGCTGGAGCTCCTCTGTCAGCACTGATGCACCCCAAGGAGGAGAGAGCAAGCCCTACACCACTATCTGAAAAATGAGAAATGTGTCTTCTGGTTTAGTAGCTTCTACAGAAATGCAACACAGAAAAAGCAGAGCCAAAATTACACTGAAATGGCCTTGGAGAAGAACTTCCATTTCTGCTTCGCAAGCTACTCAGAAAACGGTGGAAACATGCCCAGGTCAGCAAAATCTTCAATGTTGTAATTGCCAGTACCCTGCGTCGGATCCCCCGGCATTGGCAGCATGTCCTGCACGATAAGGAAAAAATCAAAGTGAAGTGTCACTTGCTAACACGTTATCCAGACACAAACTGTTTCCTGTTCATCTTTTCAGTCTAAAACCAGAAAAGGCCAAAGGTTAGACAAATCAAGGTGAAAACCAGACCTGTGCAGGGGGCTGGGCTAAGGTTTATGTGCTACTTATGTTTTGCTGAAGCGTTTCTGAAAGGAAGATGGGACTTAAGCAGGGCAGAAGTTTTGGATTGCTCCTCTGAATAAGGCACGTTTGAGCTGCCCCATATTCCTCCCAGGACGAAACAGCTCCCCTTGGAACCGGTAGCTACATACGGAGAGAAGCAAACTCTCTGGTTTCACTAGGTGGGAAGTATTGAGCATCTCACATGCACCTGCACCCTAGTTTGGGGAGGGTCTCACCTCCTCACCAGCGCTCTGTAAGTGAACGTATTGCTGCTCTTTGTCCTCTGAGGAACACTAAAGACTGGACATCCACCCCAGCTAACAAGATGCCCAAGCAGGCTTCATGCATGTACAAAGGCAGACGAAATAGCAGGAACTTCTCAGGAGAAACGGGATTTCATACTAACTGCTCCCACGTGTCTTGAGCCAAATGAGGTCCCTGCAGGCGGCTTCGAAAAATACTCAACCTTTCCTCTCAGCTGGAGACTGAAGCCACAGGGAAAAGACATCCCTTGCTGAGAAAAATAGAGTTTACGCTTGCTTTTCCTGTCAGTCCTTACAATAATAAGCTCTTACTGCAAAGCCAAGTTTTGCCAGGGATGGCTCATTATCCAAAAAAACAAAACCTAAAGAGCAAACAAGAAAGCTCACAGGATCTGCTCTGTGAAGGAGTAACTACTGAGAACTGGTGGGTACTGAGAAGTCACCCCAAAATAAAGACAGATTAAAATCCATCTGAGATCTCTGTAGCATCCCTGTCGATGGTGGTGAAAGAGGCTGTGAACACAACTGGCAGTTTCTCAGCTGCCAGGGTCAGCCTTTGTTTTTTGACCAGAACTTGCACTTATTCTGCGTTTTCCCACATTCCTTCCCAGCCAAGGGGAAGCTGTAGCTGCCCTTGCCTGTTTTAATTTCCATCCCTTTGAAGGCATTTCTGCTGCTGGGGCCTCCGAGGCAAGGGCTCCGTAGGTATGGACTTGGCAAGGTAGCTCCCCTCTCCAGTCTGCCTCTCTCCGTATGTCCAGCTAACCCAGGGCTGGCTTCAGGTACAAACAGCCCAAGCAACTTCTTGGAGGCCTTGAACTGAGCTCATCTGAATTTCTCATCACATCAGGCTATTATCCCAATTCCTGCCAAATGCACAGTCAATGCCCAGAGCTCTGCGGGTGAGCCCGGTTCTCCCTTTCTCCCTCAGCCCTCCTTCCCACTGATTTCATAAGACATTTGCTGGGACACAGCATTTGCCTGAGACACAAGCAAGATGCTGGCTGGAGCTCCATGTCCCTGTGGGCCATCGAGCCATGCTGCCATCAGGTCCACTGGAATCACCCTGAATATGCTTTTGGGTTAAAGTACGTGCAGAATGATTAAACTGCTTACAGACAGAGATGCAACACATTAATCTTGCCTGGTAATGGGGTAGAGCATGCAGACAGGGAGTTATTCCAGACGTAGTGATGTTATGTGTTCCTGTGTGAAGCAATGGTTCGTTCACACAGGAATATTTTCAGGCTAACGTCTCTTCTGCAGCATTCCTGAGAGCAACTGAGCACGAGCCCAGTCATGCAGGTAAATTTACTTTCTGAAAGATAATAAGGTGCCCCACTTCTAAACCTTGCTTGTGGCTTTAACTGTCTTTTCTGCACTTATCTGCATTGTTCTGGGCAAACTGTCATCTTGATCTAATTTCAAAATAAGTTATACAAGGACAGAGACCTTATGAGTTAACTTATCAAGTCCCACTCCACCTGTAGTGAAGGCCCAAATGACACTTAATGTTACAAAATCAGGTAGCTGAAGAGGATTGTTTACCAGCTATCTGATATCTGACTGGGTTTAACCTTAAAAAAATAATGGGCTGCTATCTTCTACGCAGTATCAGACTCCTTTCCTGCTTGAACTATCAAAGAGCATTATGCTGATGTCTAACTGGGATTGACTGAGATTTGAGAGGCCAGCACCAGGATAAGATAGACCCTCTATTGGGGACTATTTCGTGGCCTCCCTGCAAAACACATAAGCCCTAAATACAGGGTGCAAAGAGAAGGGAAAACAGCACTTAAAATCACCAAAGATGCTGTTTTCCGCAGAAAACAAAACCATCTCAGTTGCAGCTAATGCCAGCTAACAGCAGGCAAACCCACGGCACCACACGGCAAGAGGCAATTGCTCCAAGCCCTGCTAGCACCCTGGTCAGCCAGGGCCACGGTTCTTCAACTCGGCAGTGAGAAGCTGGAGAGACTTGGGGCTTGCTGAGCTCTCCTCACCTGGAACACCTCGGTCTGACTGGTCTGTGGGTGCGAGTGCTGGTCGCCGCTTTGCTGGTTGTGATGTTGGCTCTGCCACTGGGACCAGACTTCGGAAGGTCTCCCCTGGAACTGGCCGCTGCTCTGGCCACCTTCAGCTGGCCAGGGGGAGAAAGGGCAGAAGTCAGAGAGCAGCTCCTTCAAAACACCTGCCTGCTTTTGAGGCTTCATCCCTCAATGCCCGTGTTTGCAAATGAGTCTTAGAAAAAAGACCCTGCGTGACACCCAGCCCCTGCCGGGCGGAAGGCGAAGGGAGCAAAGTTCACCGCTGCGGCTGCGCAGACACGGCAGGTGAATTGCTCACAGCAAAACACACGGTGACACCACAAGCCAGGCACTGGAAGGCAGGTTTCAAGCATCCCTCCACCACTTTTTAACCACTAAGAAAGAATATCAGCCATTTCACTTCCAAACCAAACTGCACAATCTGAATGCTCTTTTCCTTTAAAAGATTAATTCTTGCAGAGCAGTGGGGGCACAGTTACCTGCTCATCTAAGAAATACGCTTTCAGACTTCGTAAGCAGATGTAAAAACAGTAAGATCACACAGGCAACAGCCTTCCTGTATTAAATGCAGATATTGCTGTATTAAATGCAGACTGTTGTTTGCTGGACTATTTTGTCCTCCAATATTATAGCTGCAAAATGATTTATTTAACATGTAGCTTATAGGAAATTATCATCCTGTTCATATGGTGATGGTTTCTTAAAAGTCTGAGGCCATTTAAATTTCAGAGTAATGTGAACAGCAAGGTTTTACGGTAAATACACTTAAAATGATGATTTCAGGGAGATGGACTACTTCTAAGTAGTCTACCAGGAAAAAATATGATGCCACACAGATTAATTTGGTCACCTGTTACACATCCACTTTCCATGACTACAGTCACAGCTCACACTTAAGCTGGACTCATTTTACCCTGTATTTCTACAGACTGGCCCCAAATATATAAATTTTTTGGACCATTTCTGTTCAATTATTTACAACTTCTCCTTCTAAGAATTAGAATTACACTTTTCCTCCAAACATTTTCTCCTCTTTTGTCTTTTCTTTTTCCTTTCTTTTTTTCTATATAACTACTCCTACTATTTTTGCCTATTTTCCTCTCACTGCAGAGAACCAAGCTGGGTACATCTGGTTGTCCCCAGTTATCAGTGCCCTCTGCCAAGGGTGCCCAACTCCCTGTGCCAAACTTCCCCATGTGTACTATGTCAGATCTCCGATAACCAGACTAGATCACGTCAAATCAGTCACTACTCAAAGTCATGGCTTCAGAAAATACAGAAACACGTGCTTAATCCAATCCCTTTGGCTACCAGCCAAACTGTGTAAAACAGATAAAGCGAACGTTTTACAGGAAAGTAAAGAGGCCGTAGTGACGTATTTCTATCGCATCTGAAGTAGATAATTACAGCTCTTCCCCTACTGACATTACCACAACCAATAATTCAGCTGACTCAGAAACCCTGCAGCCATTTTATGGGCCAAACCAAAATTCATCTAAGTTACCCTTCAAAAGAAAGCTGCGAGTTTTGTTTTTTATTTTATTCTCAGAACGATACATTGACATTAACTCAGTGAAGCAAACGATGCTTCTTTTCAGCAAAACGGTTACTGCCAGCCGGAGGTTCAAGACATTCATCTTCGTGCAGGCTGTGTTATTAATAGCATCCAAACTGATGTAGGTCAGGAAATGTTTCTCATTAGGTGCAAGGGTTCTTGCCAAGTAGCTTAGGCCTGAAATGCAAGGCTGTCTCATAAACAAATGCACAAAGCCCAGTGAAATGGAAATGGAGGCATGAATAAGCTCTCTGGGAAGAGCTCTGTTCCAATCCACTTCTTCTAAGCAATGCAGCACAGGTCTGCACTTTCTGAGGCTGATCTGCAACAGATCTGCACTGACTTTATTCTCAAGACATAAGAGAAAAATGACACACATTAGCATACTGCTACCTATGCTTTTTGGAATTGCACGTTGTTACCAGCCAGCAGCGTTTTTCAGGGACTCCACGTGTGTTTATCACTGATGGATTCATAATTTTTTTACTCTTTAATATTATTCTGCTGGTGGTGTGCAGAAAACTTACCAAGAGGTCACCCACTGTGTCATGGTCTGAAAGCCACTGAATTAGCTTGTAATAGGAAAAGAAAACCATTTCAAAACATGGCACCTACTCTGATTAGGTCAGTAGCAGTGTCGGCACAAAAAAATCCTGCCTCCAGTCAAACTCCAACAAGCCATCCGTGGGCAAGAGGACACCAGCATGCGGTCAGGGAAGTTGAAAAATGAAAAGAATGTAAATTTATGCCATTTAAGCACTCTCCTGAGAAATGAAAAGAAACTGAACCTGCTGACCACAATTTGGGAAGATGTGTACTAGTGATGTAAGGAACTTTTGAATCTTTCATGGCACCGTTTACTGGGAAAAAGGAAAGAAAAAAAAATTCCTCCTACTATAAAATGCCACAATATTCTGAAGTGTGTTGGATGTGGAGGTGATGCAGCATGGACGGAACAGCTCATTTTGGTCCACTCTGCTCAATGGGAGAAAGCAAAACCCTTTCAGCCCCTGGGCTTCCCAGTCGACCCACCAAAATAACGAGTTGGAGGATTTTTAATAGTTAATGCTGGAGAGTTTCATTTTCATGTGCATTTCTGTGTTACGTCATTTACACTTACCAAACCCTGCACTTCGGTTTGCTAAGCTAGAGTAGGCATTCCCACTTGGAGACGAGGTGGCTGGGCTGGAAAGAGGGCTATATGACGATGGATCAGCTGGGTAGGTGTGACTTGTTCCAATCCCAAAGGGGGATGACTGAGCCTTGCCAGACTGAGATGGAATTTGCTGAGGAACAAGGGGTGAAAGAAAGGGATGAGTTTTATTGTTGACAAACAGCACACCAGACTCACTTTTTAACAATGTAAATACTAAATAAACTGCAGATGCGAACAGGCACGTTATTCCTATCTTAGCCATATTTTATCTCTGTTGAAGCCAACTTATTGCTGCATAAGGAACACAGCAGACTATAAACCATCACTTACAGCTCTCCTGCTGATTAACCTGCATGTACTCAATATCAGAGCTACTTGGAAAAACATGACTTCTTTCACCTCTACTACAAGGATTAATCTCAAACTGAACAGTTATAAAGAATTCACCTTTATTTGCGAGGTGTTTTGATTTTGCAGTGCCACAGTAAAATCACAGTTATCTGAATGTCTTGCAGAATACATGCAGTTCTCAGATGACCAGAGTCTCCAGCGCTTGGGGGTAAATGGACAAAGATGTTTCAAAGCTAATGAGCTACTTTCTCTCCCTTCCTAAGTAGTACAGGCAGTAAAGTTACCTTGCCTTGTAAAAGGCTTGGGAGGGAGTGTGAATCACCAGCCCTGGGAGGAGGGAATAAACAGTCTAACTTTGCTTTAACTGGGCAGCTGAGTTAATTCAAAGGTATTAAAAACCAACTTGCTGTCATTTTCATCTACATAATGGCTTCGTCGTCGGATTTCCAAGAATGTTACACAAATGATTAAACACTACAAGACTGCTTTGAGACATGCACACACCAAGACTAAGGGAGGTGAAGTGTCTCATCCAAAATCACGTGCTACAGTAACGTATCTACAGACAGAATCCGCATATAAACCATTTCCTACATTATGAACAAATCCAGCAGTTCCAAGAAAAACTCATTGCCTAACCAATTCCACAAATAGAAATTAAAAGTGATTACATCTCTGGATACTTCTAATGATGTGCTCTGTTATTGCCAATCAATGTACTCAAGTGAAGATATTCTGTCGGACAAATGCAGGGGAGCTGGGGGAGAAGAACAGATCCCAACAGGCATATAACACAATGAAGATGCTATTAAGTCTTCAGCTCAGTTCCAAGCTAAGAAATTGTACATTTCTAAAGGTTTTCACAATGACAGTGAGAGCATGATGTGTCACTTCTGCAAGACTTAACTCTATTTGACTTTATTTACGATGGATGAATGAATTCCTATTTCCCAACACTCACATACAAACTCTGTCGACTTAGACAGAATTTGAATAGTAAGAGGGATGAATAATTTTTTTTTAGTTATTTTTAGCATCCTCCATGCCATTAAAAAAAACAGTTAATGTTACAACTGGATTTCATTAACAGGTGTGACAGAATACCCATGGCACACTGAGGACTGGGAAGCATCAGTGATTAATGTGGAAACAATTCAGTTACTGAAAAATTACTTAGTGCCCACCCCAACATGCCATTCTAGGCTACCAAACCATGGAAAGTCAAGAGTGATTAAGAGCAACATTAATGATAGATCAAACATGATTATTTCATATTCTTTGTCTTTAACAGAGTTACAAAACAGTTTTTTTTATTGTTAAACTGGTCAAGACATGACTTCTAGGCCAACATCGTCTGATGGAGGGGTGTGTTGTTTCCTCCAGCACACGACACAGTGTGAGCTCCACTGGGCAGTGCTATGGGAAGGGCAATAGGCTAAGTAGCCTCTGCTCTGAATTCATGCCTGGATTTGTATGAGCCCCTTTCTGATAACACTGCTAACTGTGGGTAACATCGCTGGCTTTGAGGCCTTGGTCCAAGAAAGCTTCACTCCATGAACTTAATCCTAAAGCATAGCAGCTGTCCTCTTTTATTTCATTCAGTGCATGTATGAAAATAAGTGCAGGATTGAGACCTTCCACTGAGATTTATGTCAGTGCTCTGACTGCCACTATTATGAACACTCTTACAAACTAAATGCAGTTACGCAGAGGGCAGTTGTCTCAAATTATTATAACCTGCCAAGGAACAGAAGTGGGGGAACTGATTTCTCTCCAACCACAAATGATAATGACAAAGTACATTTAATCACATTATAAATGGGGTTTACTAATTCTTTTGTAAAAAGCACAAAGATTGCAAATCTTTAACAACGATGAAAATAAAACACTTTTAATCAATACCTGTCCTGGAAATGGTGGGCGATTTCCTGTCCAGGCAACCTGACTCTGATTTAGCTGGCGAGATATCTGTGTCAGATTCTGGCCGGTTGATGAAGAAGACTGGATGTCGTTCACACCAGGCACATGTACCACAGATGAGCTAAAGGAACAGAAACAGTGCCTCATTTGTAGGATATATTCTTGATGCACAAATAGTATTTCAGTTATGGAAATGTTGATAATCACATTAAAACTAATTGTTCAATCTGTCTTAATAAAAAATGACTTTAAACCATCACAAAACTATGAAACATACTGGCATTCTAAAATGTCAGTTCAAACAGACACAAAGGGCAAAATTATTTTGAATTAGACTTCTACAATCTCTTTGAAACAGCTTGCAAGAATAATAGTCTAACACACAGTGCATAAACACTTAGCTCCATACTTGTTTAGTATTTAACGCATTAAAGAAAACCTGCTTGCAGACAGTACTCGGGCAGGGACTTAATTTTAAATTTGTGCTTAAAGTCAACACTATTTAAGCATTTGCTTAAATGTCATCCTAAATGAAGATGCACAAAAAGATGATACTTATAAGTACTTCTTTATTTGTTTCCTGCCTGGGAAATAAAGAAGTGTGTGCTATATATTAAAAATATGAACTTTTAATTCTGATTTTCACCAACTGATGCTAAAAAAGATCATGTAGTAACATATCCAGACAAAAGAATAATCAAGACAAAAACTTAAACTAATGTAATAGCTTTGGAATTAAAAAAAAAAAAAAGTATTTCCAAAGGAACTTGTTTATATGTTGGCTGTTTCCTAATTACTGAATATCACCACAGAGAAATTTCCCAGAAATTCTTAATTAAAAGGAAAATTTTAAAAAGGACCGCTCCACTTTACCATTTTATTCTCATGGAAGTCTTGAACAACTGAATCTATATAACCACACATTTTGAATGTGCTTTTATATATTTTTATCTATAAAAATACATATTTATTATTATTTTACATGCCATATATAAATATATCCATGAATATAAATGAAGATAGAACATATAAAAATGCTTTTATGCATCAATTGAAACAGCTTGCTCTTGCTTTTTTCTCCAATCTCTTCTCTATTGTCTGTTTTCACAGGCATTTTACAGAGAAAGAAGAGAGCAGATTGGGAAAAGAAGTAAACAAGGCTGAGCAGAGAGGATGCAGGAATCCGAATCCTCTGAGAAGACGGACAAAATCCCTCCCCGAGTGGTAAGCAAAACGTGACAAGCATTTGAATATGGGAGTCGCTATTCTGTCTTTCTTAAGCTGCCTAAAAGTAAAGTGCGTGTTTAGAAATTCCTTGTAGAGTTTGTTTTCTATTTTTTTATTTTATTTTTATTTTTTTTACTACAACAGAGTCTCCGAAGAGGGAAATGTGGACCAGAAAGTCCATCTAAATCTAGCTGAACTTGGAAGCACACAACAGCTGCTGGGAAGGGCTGGCCCTACTGCCAACACCTTCCCAGCTGGACTGGCAAGTCCCATCGTCTAAGGGGCTTGGACTGCATATGGAATATATACTTTGAAACTAGGAGTCTGCCAAGTAGTGCCTAAAGGGTGCCCAGGCTCAGTAACGGAATGGACCAGCCTGGAGAGCATCTACAGAGGACAGTTCATGGGGGGTGAAAATGCTGGCAGATTGTGTCGTAGCTTGACGTAACAGAACAGCAGTAGGAAAAAAGCTACAGTTAAGCACCAGGAATTAACAAAGGAAATGAACAAAACACATGCCGAACCCCAAGATGGCAAGTCAACTATCCAGTAATATACAATATCCAATTAAAAGACATTTTAATTTACTGTCATATCCCCCTCAAGTTAATCTTGGTTTTAATGTGACAAAACACACGCATGGGGATTTTATTTCTCCCCACTGCGATTATTAGCAATTATAACTTTAAGAACACATTGGTTTAAATAAAATTATCATTTGCAGATGTTTTCTAATTCCTGGAACTGACAGCTTCTGAATGGCTGTTCCTTCCCTCTCCCAACCTCAGTTGGTCTAAAACAGGAGAATGAAACTTCAGTATCACAGTCCCAGAACGGTGACACGAAAAGCTAATCAGTGTTATCACACTCTCAAAAGTGACTGGAAATGCAGGCAAACGCTTAAGCTTCAGATCAGCCAAATCTGTATTGCCAGTTGGTAGGCAACGATGTGTACTCTGAATAACTCAAAAATGCCTTGGAAAATGCCAGACCACCACCTTATGTGTATTTGGAAACTGTCTTAGAAAACCATTCATGCTTGTGCCCCAGCCCTCACCAGAGACTATGGATCAAGCATCCCTCTGTTCCCTTTAGTAAGGTGTCCACACTGATGCCCTCCAAGGCAGCCTGCAAAAGTACTGACAGGTGTAAGTGCAAAACAAATCTTTGCACATTCCTACCTTAGTTGAATGTTCTTCAGATCTCTGAGCATGCCCCACCACCTTTCAGATTTATTTCCCTTCATGATTTGTTGCTGCTTCTTAGCTTTTTTTTTTCAATTACATCATCACAGCAACAAGTATCTACCTACCAGCCGCTATTTTTGACAGAGATATCCAAATCATCTCAGCATGTAAACCTAGCCTGAGTGCTGAGACATCACATAGGAGTGAAGTGTACACAAAGTAAAGTTCAGTCACATAAAGAAAGCCCTTGCACCTTAGGTCAGTTTTGCTTTCACTAGACTGAAGGGGAACAGTCCTCCACTATCAGACAGAAGCTGATACATTCAGGATCTGGATATCAGTACCTGAAAGTCTTTCCCGAATGTCCTGGCTGAAATGGGCTTCCCTGTGAGTAAAGCTGCTGGCTTCCTGCTGTGGATGCTGAGGCCATCATTTTTTTATCTGCTACAAAAGAAAAACAAATCACAGGAAGAGAAAAGTTTAGGGGATAAGAAAATGAAGACAAAATTATTTAATGAGAATTGCAATGTATACAGGCAGTAGGGATTCTTCTTTCCTTCTTAAAAGACTTATGAAGACGCCCTGTGGAACACATGAAGAATGACACAAAAGGGCTGTATGACAATTCAGTATGGAACGAGAGCCACAGCTGGTTTGTGTCGACTTCATACCCACGTCCCAGGAAGTACTTCACTAATGCTATTGTTTTCATGGAACATAACGCTGGTACGTGCCCTCCAGCCACACAGCCCAGACCTTCTCTGTGCCCGCTGGAAGCTGCTCCTGACCACGCAGGCAGGAAGGGGAATGGCAGACGGAGAGCGGCTCTGGCCGAGGCGGGCAGGGATGGGTACATGGGTCCCAGCTACAGACTGGAAAGGGAAAAAAGGTTTTCTGGAAGAAAGATGGGAGAGTCTGCCCAGGGGAATGGAGGAATGCTGCATGAAACAAGCCTGGCTTGAAGAAGGTCCGATGCACGTGCACCCCTGTGGGCTATGGGGATGGCCTCAGGCGAGGGTACGTTTCTGGCTCCAGAAGCAGCCCTCCAGGTTTGCTGCTGTTCCTGCAGTCTCTTCACACTGAGGTAGTGGAAAGGCAAAAAACTGGTCTCTCATGGATTTTACTGTCCTATATGTGGCTTGAGGGAGTCATGAAATAGGATGTAAGCATCCCAGTAGGGGGTAAGACAGACTAGCGTAGTGAATAACACAGACACGGAGATGCCGTTAACTTTTATAGTCTACTCTTAACGTGGCAACTGGAGATCAATCTCTAATTGAATGAAACGAGATTGGGTGAACAGTGCCATTTGGTCCCTTAATTTAATTTTCTGGCACTGGATTATTCCAAAGCACAGGGAAACCTCACTACTACTACTTTTCTTAAAATAATTTAAAGGTCTGCTCCACCTTCCTTTACTCACTTTCTCCATCTTCCCTTACTACCTCTAAGCACAAAACACTCTGCAACTCACTGATGGCTTTGCAACCATTTTTTGTTATGCACCTTTGGTACGCCTAGAAATCAAGCCCACCTCCTCATTTTCCCCTTTGCTCTGTTCAGATTCCCACTTATTTAACAAGATGCTCTCCTGGACAAATGGCCCACTCAGCTCACAAGTAACGGAAGTGGTTTTTAGTTTTCCCTAGCTTTTAGAGACCTTGTGAGTGTGACTCATCAAAGGCCTCCAACACACACCAGCTCTTCCCTGTTACCTAAGTTCTTACTATGTTATGTTCCTAACAGGAATCTAAACTTGCATTCCCAAAGAAAAAAGTCACCTCGAATTACGTCACAGGAGCCTTGGAGAAAGTGCATGAATGCCACTGATGCAAGCTGTCATTGCTTTTCCTCTGTAATGTAGAAATTCCTCACCGGTTACACATTGTCCAGCACAGACACCGAGTCTGGGCTGCAAACCTGAGCTCTCATATAAAAAAAAACCCACAGAGAAATGGGGACAAGGTGTAGAGAAGGTTGTGTATGTAGTAGGAAGAATTGAGAATGGGCTGGGGGGGGTATCTCTGAGAAGAAGGACAGATGATTTTGCCTTTTTTTTTTCAGTAATGCCATTCTTGCATGAGATGTCCCATTTTTTAAGGCCACCTTTTACAGGGATACCAAACTCTCAGGGTTAGAAAAGACTGAGCCAAAATCCTGTGGGTACTTTAGATAGCTGAGAACAACTTACCAGCAAAATTGACTGCCCTAAATGAACTGGAATTCCTCGAGTGGAGCAGAGTTGCTATGGCAGCTACCAGGGTCTGTGCCACAGGATGAGGCCAAGACAAAGGGAACAGCTAAACTAATCACAAGCACCAAACTCAGCTTTCAAATCTCTTTCCTGAGTTACATCGAATGCTCTTTAGCTTCTGAATCTGGCCCACATCTCTCCCAGCTGTATTCCCACTCAGGACTTCACACACTACTTCTCTGCTCTCACCTTTGGTACAGCACTGAAAACCTATTCTGTCTTGGTTTTTACCTGCATCCTTAGACCTGTTTCTCTCTATAAACTCCATCACTGTACTGGTCAATGTTATGCCCTTCTCCCAGCAGGACCAGTGTTTCTGCCTGTAGAATGAAGATCTCTGTAAGAACCGCATCATCCCGCGCTTCAAGGCACCTGCATGAATCAGCGAAGGCAGGCTTCCTCTCCCCGCTCTTGTTTTTTAGTTATACGTGGCCACTGCATGCAATTACAGCAACAGTTTCCCTATGTCAAACCTGTATTTTTACAGAACGTAGCAGAGAATGAGACTGAGCATCAACATAACGCAAATGTCTTGAAGGCAGCACGCAGGTTTGTCAATATTGGTTTTGGACAGTGTATCTCATCTCTAACTGTGAACCATCTCTTTTTATCATTCAGAGAAGACCTTGATCACAGCTCCCATGAGAAATTCAGACAGGGTGAATGTCCCAAAAAAAGCATAGCCTGTAAATTGATAAGAATGAAAAAAGAAATGGCATTTCCAAGAACATAACCTCCCAGTCCCCTCACAGCTTGCTAGACCCTTAACCCTAACCCCTCCCCACAAACAGTTGAGAGCTGCCTGAAAAAGAGCCAATAAGGCAGCCAAAAAGCAAGATGTTCCTGCTTGGAAAAACATATTCGGGTGTTCAGGGTTGGAGTCTTGCTACTTTCTAATAGACCCCTTTTATGGCCTCAGCTGTTGACTTCCCTGTTAGAGTAGACAGACAAGGATCAACAGGAATAACAGAGAAATCCTGGCAACAGGAGGACAGCATATCAAGTCTATCCTGCAGTTACAGTGCCTTCTCCATTCAAAAAGGCCAAGCCAGACATAAGAAACCAATGCAGTGAGGTCATCTCCTAACAGCCCTGGAGTCAAACCCTGCAGGTCATTTCCTCCATCCACTGCGTGACACTTGCACATTGATTTATTTAAAACAAATGTAAAAACTTCTCTTTTTCCGTAAGGACAGTTAAGAACAATAAACAATAAAGAGTTCTTCCACAAGCAGTGGAATTAATGAGCCTGGTTTCCTACAGATATATTTCTGACGACCCCTTCAGCTGTCAGTCTTCTCAATGACTTCTGTCTGTTAGGGCAACAAGCAGCACAGGTTGAGGCTAGTTTGAGTCAGCTACGTCTGTCTGGCAAGTTGGCTGCTACCTCTTGGAACAGGACTGGGAAATCCTTCATTGAGGGCACTCAGTTAGGACTCTGTCCTCACAGTAATTTTTGCAAAATATTGACAAATATACTATTTTTGAGACTCCTATCACTCTTGTAAGAACTTGTTAACAACTTCAGAAGTTGTGAGAAAAAGAGCAAGGACTCACCAATAGGTAATGTGACTGGAGATGCCACAACTGACCAGAAAACAAGTATATTATTACACTTCAAGGCAGCGTATGCCTCTGAAAACATCAAAACAAAAGCTTGTGATTTGATTAAAAACTGCAGGCCTATATAAAGACTACGTGGTAACTTTCTCAATCCATGTCTATTTGAAGAGGTGAACTCGTAACTGCTGTTTAAGAAAGAAAATACATACTTAGAAACTAAGTTATGCTCAGTATGTTCAGCATCTATGAACACTGCTTAAGGTGCCCCTGTGAAATGAAAAATAGGTAGCCTTGGTGACACAGAAGCTGTCCTGCCCTCCTTGAATTTACTCTTCATCATCTTTAGGGGAAATATTATCTAAAGGCAAATTCTAGGAAACTGGTCTGAAGACTGACATTGCTTGGAAACTTCTCTGCCACGTTGTAGTTTCTCTTCATTCTCTTGAAGCTGTGCTCCACATCACGCAACCAAGCTTAAATAGTATTAAAAATTAAACAGAGACATTTCACTTACAAGCAGTCATTCCAGCAAACATCTCAGCAAATCTAGGATCTCTCTCTTGGGAGAAGATAGCATCAGGCTTTTCCACAGACTTTCCACCCTCATGAACGTTAGCTGGTATACTGGGAACAGGCACCTGTTGAGATATAGAGAGGAAGGTAATTCCCTCCATCATAGCTGATGAAAATAAATTTAGGGACAGTGACAATGTATTTTTAATTTTGCTGAAATCTGCCATTGTTTTACATTTTAAAAGATCAGAGGCACAAAAATAAAAACTTGAGAAATTTCACCTGAGATAAATCATAGGATGACAGCCCATCTCTTTGATGTACTTCAAGTTCTGCTTGCTGTTGCTGCAGTTGCCTGCAAAGGAGACAAAATGACTTCATTACAAAAACCAATTAAGACACAAAAAGGAACAGCCATGGTCTCCTATTTTATACTCCATGTGAAACATCCTCAGATGATTTAGTAAATCCTTTCCTGTGAGATTCATCTATTTTTAAAGCTTTCTCACTGAGAAAGCTTGCACCACAGGAATGTAACAGGGCACATGAAGAGCTCTGCTGTAACAGCACAGAAATGTAGGTGGGTAAGTAATGGGGGATGAAATACAACCTCCTTGTGAAGGATTTAAGAATTCACCATTAAAACACCAAGAATATCTTCCTCATTTTAACAATGAATATACCAGACCCCTTCACTGATCCCACTGAAGTAAACAAGAAACCTCCAGTAACATTAAAGCAGAATTATGCTGGTCAATCAGAAAAAGTGATCAAAGCTCTGTCTGAAGCATGTCAGACCAAATGGAACAACCTGTTGAGCTAGAAGGAACTGCACATAAATCCTTTTTTGTAATAAAACCTATTTAAGATGCTTTGGTTCTACTTTCCTCAGGATCCAAGTCCAGATTCTATTCAATTTTTGAAAGCTTTTAAGGCAGTGAATGTTCAGAAATAAATAGCTTGTGCTACTATATAAAATTAAGACATTACATAAAATAAATTTGTGTTGACAAATGCTACAGAAAACACAGATCTCCTCTTCATGATAATCAGAGCTGAACAAAAAATAACCATTGTTTAAAGGAGATGAAAATGACTGGAAGTAATAGCCTTAATCCAATTATATGAATTTAGGAAAAATTACATGTGCAGCAGCAATAGAAAAATACTTCAAAAAAAACCTGCCAGAGCCAATAAATGTTAGGGACATATGCCAGAACGAAGAACTTTAGTGTTGAAGACTCTGCAGACCCTTGAAATGCACTCGATTTGTGTTCAGGGTCAGGTGCTGTTACTTAACTACGACAATTAGCCAATACCAACAGATAAAATCATTGGAAGTCACGAGAATTCACTGACAGGTGACCTGTAGGGACAGCATGCGAGTGATAGTAAGTCAGGCATATTCACATCCTACATGTGCAAATGTTGCCTACTTATAAAAATGTGCAGATTTTTAATATAGTTCTAATATATCTCACACACTGATCTTCTGAATCCATTTCTTCACTTGCTTTTTTTAATTCTGAGAGGACACAAATTCAAAGCTGCTAATTAAAAAAAAATCAGTTATGTTAATTGTTGTTACAGAAAATTTCAAAGTTACTGCAGCAAAACAACTTCTACACAGAAAGCAGTACAGTTTATCAGAAATGAAACCCAATCCTTTCGAAATGAAAGGCAAAAGCACTACTGATGCATTAAGGTCAGAATTTTACCATTAAAACGTGAGCTCACGCTTTCTGGTTTGGACTTACACCATCCCGACATGTTGGGTTATTAGGAACCTCACTTGTTTGAGCACAGGCTTGTGTGATTGTTTGCAGACAGACAAACCCAGTGTTGTCCCATCGCTGAGCTGGGCGCAAGAGCCACCTGATCTTGGAGCACAGCGCTGGGTTTGATGGAGAAGGCAGAGTCCCTTGCTCTGGTGTGGGCCAGTACCATCAAGGGCACTGAACCAGCCACTAGCATGAAGCTGGGAGCTCGCTGGCATAGCAGTGCCTCAAGGAAGACTGCCTGTGCAATGACAAATGAACCTCAGCAGCTGTGAAACCATCTAAATGGTTTGCACCTTCCATTAACAGCTGCCCTCTGTCACTTGGTCACAATTAGCGAGATTACTTTTGGCCTGAGGATGTGCATGTATCTCTGTGAGGCTCTTTTCTCAGTTTGCAAAGAAGATGCAAACACTCCCCCCAAACGGTACAAAGCTCAGAGATTAGGACAAGATTGGAGTTGGACTGACAAGAAAGTAAGCTTGATACTTGCAAATGATACTTGACAGTGGTATCAGTTTCTCTGTGCTTCTGGCCTCTTTCTGAAGGAAAAATCACCTAACGGACAGGAATTACACATCACGTGGGTTTTCCACCTGAGACACACTATAATGTGACAGGTAGTAATAGATGAGATTTTGCAAAATAGCAAGATCATGGATTTGAAACTCTGGAAAATTAGGATATGTTTTTGGCCACAGGCTTGAATTTTAGATTTTTATCCAAATCTTCTTTCAAATTTTAAACTAGAAAGACTCAAATGTCAAGGGACTAAGACAAACTTGCAGATGAAGTCAAATTAGGCCCAAACTGGTGGGAACGTGAGAGACCACTCAAATGAGTTACTGAAGTAAGCAACAGATTTTTCCATCCCTTGATGCTTTTCCAGAAGACACTTTGCTCAGACACCAATTACTAGGCTCCATGGCAAATTGGACAAAAATCTGTGACCTGCAACAAACAGAAGATTGGAGTAGATGGCCAAAAGCCTTCTGCCAGCCTTACAGTGTAAGAACACATAATACACATAATCACTTCTGTCCTATGAGTAACATGCAAAAAAAGTGAGTCCTCCAGGTCATTAGAGTGTCACGGATTTTCCTCATTATTTTAGCCAACAGAAAATTCCTAAAAATTACCTCTGGAATGCAAAGAAATTCTTTGTTTGCAAGCATAAAATGCATACTTTTCCAACAGAACTATGGGAGGTAATTTAATCATGGCAAATCTATGGGGAAGTTCTAAATACCACCCTGTGGACAATAAACACCCATTAAATCCTGTTGTTAACGTGAAAGCTAATTACACTGTTTCATTTGTTTTTATTACCAACGACTTGGTGCATGTGTCAATAAACAGCACATTAGGTCTCTTCTGTTCCTCAGAAAGCATGTTTTCTTGGTTCAGCCATATACATACAAATGAGCCAAACAAAACAGCATACTTACTAGTTATTTGTTTTGTAGGCACTTCTCTAACTTAGTGCTCCTTCACCCTTCTCTCTTTCATCTCTAATACTCGTTAAGCTGCAGTACAACATAAATACTGCATTGTGTTAACAGCACTGAACTTCAGGAACAACCTCTCGAATCCGTTTCCTATGAAAACCAAACACCTAAGCATATCTTCACTGAACTCTGTGCAAGCTATGCTGCACTTAATTAAGACTGAAATGCAAAACCATGTTAGCATCTTCTGCTGTAGTTTGCTGTTACTGTATAAATAGTTCAAATGATGCTTGAAACCTAAAAGAAACCATGCAGCGACTCACGGGCCAGCCGACCAGGGAAAGCTGAGCACTACTGCTGTGGTTGCTTCAGACTCTGCCATCTAACCAGCCTTCTTGACTGAACAGTCGAGACATGCAGGTCCCTTCGGTCATCCCATTGCTAGATCGCTTTTGTAAATATGGTACAGAACAAGGGATTATTACCGCTTTGGGCAAAACTCAAACTGCCTTCTGACTTTGAAACCAAAACTGAAACTATCCATGGTTTCAATTTCAGTTTCACAGCTTCAAGGAGTAAATGAAGGAGGAATTTCTTGGCTCTACAGGATACTCAACACAGCAAGTAAGGTATTCTCTGGGTCAACAGAGGACGCTGCTTATGCAGTGGGAATTGCTGGCTCACCCACAGGTTTGGAGTAAAACTGGGAAAGCCCTTGGCTTGAACAAGAAATGGTTCCGTGAATCTGAAGGCTTTGATAGTTAATTCAAATTTACTTCAGTTAATGTGTTTGGAGGAAAAAGGAAGATTCTGTGAAAGTTCCTCTGACACTGGAAAGGATTTCAGCCAAATTAATCTCTCCTATGAACACTGAAGTCACCTGTTCCTTTTCCAGGCATCAGAGTAACCAAAAAAGGACTTGAAATTTAAAATTAACAGTCTCTTTGGCAGGAGAGGAGCAATACTACTGTATCCCTACCAAACTATTTTTATGGAGTACAGGCACACATGCTTCCTGTGTCTAGTTTAGACAAAAAGGGAGTAATAAAAGCTTTGGGGCTGCCGTTGTAAAATCCTCTTTCAGAAACTCCAAATCTTCCTCTTTTAGTTTACAGTTTCAAAGCCATCCGTGTGAAAGGGTCTGTCATACACAGGCCTTGAGTGATCAGATGCCCACAGATGGCATGGGCATCATGAGAAAGTAAGTCTTTAGCACCACTATCATAGACTGGAATTTTAGCAGAATAGTTGATCTCATTTTTGGCCCAGGAAAATCAGAAACAGAAAGTATCTCTTCTACAAGCATGGCAGATTCATCCATCAGGCTGCCTCCAGCAGTGACTTGTGCCAGCTCATTCAAAGACATAAGTCTTGAGGCTCAGGACAACTGCAGGATTCATAAATGCAGCAGTGCAACATAGGCCTTTGGGGCTTACAAAAATGAAACATCAGAATTTCCATAAAGGTCAGAAAAATGTCTTTCTTTTATATATACACATATAAAGATTTTCATATAGTTTTATCTGTCACCATGACAGATTATTTTATTCAAACGCTGCTCTATGTGTATGTTAAATAAACGTTCACTGCAATTACTATTTCTTTTTGGAAATCAAACAGTCCCAACTACACAGGAAGATGTGGTCAATGGGAGGACTCTTCTTTTCAGCCGAACACAGCACAAATGCCAAACGTTAAATGCTTCATTTCTCCAGGAAGTTTCTCTTGGATGACTACACCCAAGTGAAACTAAGAGAAGTTTTGTTTTCTTTTTTCCCAAGGAACTAAGTGAACATTTGAACCTAATGTTTCATTATCCTTCCACACCAAAAGCAAGTTCGAAAAGTTGACTGTTTGAAGCTCCAAAGGAATATTTTTATCTAAAAAAACAAACAAACAAACCAAAACAAACCAACAATAACAAAAAAGAATAAAAATCAATTTGTTCCTCCACAATTGGAACCATCGCTGCCCTCTACAGTCTTTAGGGAAAACACTGTTCACTGACCAACCCGAGAGCTACTCTGTTAACAGACAGACACACAGACGTATGTACTGTGGCTTTAAAGTATCCTAAGTTAAAAACTGATTTAAACCTAGATCTTTTGGCTACATTGTCTTTACAATTTCATGCCGAATTTTTAACTGCCTCAAACCTGTATTTTATGGAGCTGGCTAGGTTATCCCAGTGACAGACAAATTCAAATTTGTCTCTGCGCACAACTGCCTACAACCGTGCAGCAGAACGCATCCCTGCTTGGTCTCCACGTGAAGCACTTTGCTGGACCCAGAGCATCTGATGCTTCCACCAACACGTAAAGATGGCCATGCACACTGGGGTCGGTCCTGAACAACCAGTCCCAGCAGAAGCTTAACGAGGAGGCAGAAATCAACAGTTAACTATGACGTACAACTCCCCAAGGCATCTAGGAAGTCAGAAGTCAAAACATAACCTCACATGTGTAAAAAAAATAAATAAATACAGAAACAGGCAGGAACGGCAGTACATTACAGTAAATTCTCTTTGGAAATCTGTCTGAAAAGTGGGAGAGAACACAGGGAAAAACAGAAAACAGTTTGAATAATGCATCCTTTCTACTCTTCAAAAGCAGACGTATAAAGGGCTGTATCTTCCCATAAGACTAGAACATTTTCAACATGACAGGAAAGAGGGAACATCCTCTGTCAAAGTAGCAGCAGGCAACTTCCATATTAGGTCAACATTTCTGGGTTGTTATTCAAACCTAGCAAGAGACATATAACAGGAGCCAGAAGCTGGCACAGTCCTATTCATCACAGTGAGTGCTGCCATGCCAAGCTGAACAGTATAGTGGAGGCTCAGAAAAAAACATTCCCAGGGTCAACACAACATAAGTCCCACTTTTTGATCTGTGGACTCTCAGGAATAAAGCACAATTAAGCCAGCCTGGGACAGATTTTAGAAGTCACTTTTATTTTGCAGGCCTGTTTTGGCATATACAAATTATTTGGAAAAGAAATGTGGGACAGCAATATCTATTTCAATGCACAGTGCAGACAGGGAGATATTTGGCTGTCTGATTTCAAGACACATTTGCTTGTTTTTAATGAGTTTAACTATTCGGTTGTTTAAGCCCAACTTTTTGGGTATGAAGAAAAAACGGAGCAAACCGATTGTGATGCTGGGTTCAAGTGAGTAGAAGCATAGCCCTTCTAGCCCAGGTACGTGTCATCTCCAAAGGAGCAAGTCAGGAACATCCAGAGACACTTATTAAAGCTTTCTAAGTTCAAATGCCAAAACCCCAGGGGTTTGGTTTTGCAAATGGTGCTCTCAGCATGCATCTCCACCAGCAGGCTGCTCGTTCAGCATTTCCATTACACAGTGTAACAGGTTGAGATCTTAAAACCAATAATCTCCTCTGAGCTAAAAACTTGGCAAAAAAATCTTTGGTCAGACCAGCAGCAGATTTTGTTTTAGATATAGATTAAGTTTATATTGGAAAGAAGAAATATTTATAAAAAAAATCCCACACTATAAAGCAATGGCTTTATCAAGGTCAGATTAGCTTCTGCAGCTACTGGCTCAAAACTCAGGAGGCTCCAAAGGTATTCCTGCTCAGTCACGCAGTGACGAACCTCCACTACGCTCCTAGGGCGACCTCCTTCTAAGAGGTCCAGTGACAGATTTCTGAAAATATTAATTCAAAGGCAGGATGATGTAATTCTCATTTTAAGATAAGGGGTTGGATCTGTCCCCATACTTGGGGATATTCCATCAGATCTTAGCTGAGTATCAGGAGCCCTCCCCGCTCAAGCCTACTAGGAAATAACTTTGCCAGCTTTCATAGGCCGTACGAGTAGACACAGTCCAAGGAGAAGCTGCTCAGAACTACGGAATGGTATGATCACAATGAACACGGACACAGAATTTTCTCTCTGGCTTAGGAAACAGACTAACCTTCCTCCAAGATCAGGACAGCTGGTCTGCTGCTGGAAGCTCCGTGCTAGTTTAAGGCAGCCTGGACTGAGATCAATGGGTTTGTCTAATGACATAACAGATAAGTGACGTTTCTTGCCCAGCGCGGCCAGGCGCTGGAAGCATCGCAGGATAACAACACAGAGAAACAGCTGCACTGCGAGATCTTGTGATGCAGAAAAACCCTGTTATCGACTGCACTGGCACGGAGAAACAAAAGTAGCTAGAAATAGGCTACCACAAAAATTGGAATGTGCTTTACAGCAAAAAGCAATGCTTAAGTTCTTTCAAAACCACATACGTGAGCATCTGGAAAGACACATACTTTACATTAGTGTTGGTGCAGATGATGTATTCAATCTCATCGGAATAAGGATTCTGAAATGTGAAGCTGCTGGTTCTGATCAGCATCCATTCCCGGTTTTTGGTACGAAAACGATACATCACAGACAGGACTTGACCTTTCAGTTTCACAACCTGAAAAACCATTTGGAAAGGTTAATAAAAGGAGATTGCTACCTGCTGTGCAAATGAATAGTAAATAACAGTAACTGGTGTGTTTTAAACTTAAATTACAGAAAGCTATGGACACAGCATGGAGACTCTTAATTCAAAGAGAATAAGCAAAATCTGATCCACACTTGCAGCTACCTCCTTCAGAAAGAAACCCTCACACTTTGTTGTATAAAACGTCATTTTCCAGCCTGCATATGAGAACAATACAGATTCAAGACAACAGACAGGTTGTGCTGTTATCCCAACAAGGAAGCTTTAAGAAGGGTTTAATGTGGAATGCTTATCAAGAGAGATTGACAGAAACCAGACTGAGTTTTTTTTAAATATTTCTGTGTAGATCAAAAACCAAAAATTGCAGCTGAAACAAAAGCCCACAAGAAAATAACATTTTGAGGTTGACTATCTGCCTGCTTGGATACCTAACTACGATTCATCTATGCGACATACCAAATCACACATCAGCATCAAAATTTAGGATAGTACTTAAACACAACGGGTTTTTTCAGAAACCAGACATGGTTGGGTTTTTTTTTGTCCCCCCAAACACATTCTAAAACTCCCTAGGATGGCAAAGTGCTAACAAGAAACACTTGCTTCTGGCTTTCAAAAGAAGAAAGAATGAGCCAGTGTTTGAATGCAGAGAATACCAATAAGCCACTGTCCATTTTAATAGTATTAATGAAAACAGAGAGCTAATTCTTTACTTGGACAGTCTACTTGTTTATAACAAAGAATTCAGATCTCTGACAATATTCAGTTCAAATTCTAGTTTTAGTAGCTGAAGTTTTGTTGAAGTCAATAGTTGGGCATCAAGTGAGAAGTAAGAAGCAGACAGCTAAAGAAGGACGCTCAAAACAGTACTTGGACACTGGCACTGTAACTGCATTTTATATGTCATCTAACAATCTTGGTTTAAGTCAGAAGAAACCTTACATGGTTTCAAGTCATTCAAGCTGGCACTTACCAGGGCTATCTGTGTTTATTTTTTATTGCTTTTCCACCAAGCTATCTGAGGGGTGCCTCAGGGAAGGAAAGGGAAGGTCTACTACAAATAAATGCCACATCTCATTTTAGATTCTTAATCCTTATTCATTGGAATTTATTTTTTATTAGCTACCTGCAGCCTGTATTCTCTAAAAGTAGAAAAATCAGTATTTACTCTGTCTGTATTGACAAGCAACTAGATTAGGAAAAATGCTCCAATCCCGTTTTTTCCAAAGGTCTGCATTTCAAATTGATCAACTGGATACAGGACTAAATGGAAAGAATGCAAACAGAAGGCACAAAAAGCTTTAGCAATGCCCAGGAAAGTTCAAAATAATACTGAGACAAATGCGTTCTGTTTTTTTGGTGTTTTTTGTTTTTTTTTTTAAATGCTTTTGTAGTTTGAGTTTAGTGAGCAACATTCTTTTATCAGCAATTTTCTATTACCACACCCAGGTTAAAAAACACAGAGCTTGTGTAAAAGTGTCCAATCTGAACAGCATCCTACTGGATACCAAATAGCTGTATTCTGGATCCTTTGATACTAAACTCTATTTGTTGATCTTGGCCTTGAGACTATCTTATTCTGGTCTGATTTTCCCACCCTGATGAATGAATTTATCTTCCCAAGGAAGTAAAAGCTTTGAGATGGATACTGGCAATTGACCAAAAACTGCAAAACCTTCCCTCCCTCCTGTTACACACCAGCCTGGTTCTGATACTGTCAGCAAATCAGAAATGTCAAGTTTTCAGAGGGTACTAGAAAAAAAAGAGTTTATTTGAAATCACAGTTACCTTTTTAATGAAGAGATTCTTAAGGCCAAACTAACAATAATAAAACAAACTGCAGTGATCTATTGTCCTGAAGTCTGAATTAAGCAAACACTAATTCTGTAATAATATATAAAGCTTGAGATCGCTGGTGGGAAAATCCTGAACTGTCCTAAAACAGTGCACACAAACAAGATAGCACAAAAAATTTCAAAGCTAATGTTTAACCTTTACTTTCTTACATTCTTTGGAAATAAAAACCACCTGGTGCATAGCTTAACTGTTTACTTCAGTCTTTTATTGCATGATCGAAATAACGGCCCCAATCACATTGCTACTATACAGAACAAAAATGTAGCAAAAAAAGGAATTGCCTACTAAAGAAACAGCACAATGTTTTCATAGACTCGACATAGGTCGAGTGAACGGCAACTTTCACTTCTAATCTGCTTTTTTGTATGACCTTAACCAAATCATGTAGGTCCCTGATCCAGCAAATCATTTATGCACGTGCCTAATAGTGAGTAGTGACACTGAAGTCCCCAGCAACCCAGTTCAGGGGCACACTGGCAGCCTCCCACGGCCTGATCTCACCCAAGCGAACACAGTGAAGACAAGTCATTAACTTGAGTGTTAGTTAGCCAGCCCTTCTGAGCCCCAGGCAATCACTTCAGAAATGGATGTCTGACGTGCTATTATCCAGCAGCTCATTGTCATTGTCTCTTGGATAAATTAGTGGAATCAATCATTTGGGTATTAGTGAAAAAACAGCGTATGCTTTCTCGCTGCTCCTCTTGCACCACTGATGTGATCAGGCACAAGTTCAGGGAGCTGAAGCAGCTAAAAGCTAGTCCCATGCAAAAGCAATGAGTCCCTCAGCTAGCCTACCTGGCAAGTCCATCTGTGCTAGTATCAGGAGAGTAGGAAAGGTGGGGAGAAGGTCAGGGAAGAGACAAGAGGGGGAGTAGTACCTGACTCCTGGTGACAGCTACCCACCAGGTAGGTTCAGCTGCAGCACCACACTCCCAACCAAGGTGAGGCAGAGAAGATGACGGAGTGTGGTGACCTATTTCAAGCATGTAACTCTCACAGGCTCCTGTCTGTGAATCAACATCTTGAATTTAAAAGGTCTTCAGCTGCTGTTTGAACACAGCTCGTTCAAGGGACATGAAGTGGATGCATAGTGCTCACACAGTCTTTTCCGCTAGCTCAGCAGTGGGGTTTGTAGCCTCTGCTTGAGGGAGGGGGTGGTGAGAAATAGTTCAAGGGTACTGATATCTTACATTATCTCAAACACTTCTGTAGAGACCATAACCTCAGTTTCACAATCTATCCTGTGGACACAGAACAGCATTTAGTTGTTTTCCCCAGAGAGGCTTTTCAAGCTCCGTTTTTGCATGCCATGCCTGAATAAATAGTTGGCTATACAAATTACTTTAGAAGTCACTTCATATCAATGTTTCACAGCTGAAAATACATCTCAGCATCCAACGCAAGACAGACCAACAAAACTTAGTTGAGCTATAGGCTGTTGTCAGAAAATCTGGAACCACTTAGATCCATCTGAACCTCCGTAATCTGTTAAACACACTACGCCGCGCTTTCTAGTGCAGCAGAGAAGGTGCTGAAAAGACCAGCAGCAAGCAGAAGGCTTGTGGAAAGCACTCCTACTGCACGTCCCAGATCAATTTGAAACAATAACTGCTACAACGGAATAAATGCCTTTGATATGGCTGATGTAAACGTGGCCCACTATAAAAATGAATCCAGCAGTAACTCTTTTGTTACTTCTGTCTGCATTTCAATTCCTAATAGGGAGAAGGGCCAAATTCTTTATTGATGTAAAGCGGTGTTACTCCATCCAAGTACGAAGCACGTCGTCTATGCTAGCAGAAAATTCAGGTCACAAACAACCCGGCATTACAGCGGAGTGTAACTATTTTCAAATCAACAGCCATCTTGGAAGGTAAATACTTTTCGTTACCACTTAACATAGTGGGATTTATACAGGCATCACCAAAACAGCTCTAACTTGTGCAGTGAACACTCACTTAATTTTTTTTGTAAAAAGAACATAAAATGTATAACTAGGTGACTTATTTCTGAAGACACAGCAAAGATGCTGCAGTTTAAACTACCATTTATGCAGCTAAACTGATTAGTAACTGATCAACAAATTGTTTCATTAGCTTGTCACTCCTTCTCCTGCATAACAGCAAAAATACCTTGAAATGAAAAATAAAAGCTACTTCTCTGAACAGAATAGTAACAAAAATAAGAAATAATAAGAAGAAAAGGAGCGGGACGCAGCACCTGTTGGAAACTCTCCCTCAAATGGCTTTGATCTTCAGGATGGCAGAATTCTAAAATATCTTTCCCCAGAAGATCCTAGAATAAAACATAAAGCTGTGTAAAAAACCTGGACTACAACTCAAATCCACATACAGATCTGCAAGGAATCCTTGCAGACACTAGATCTAGTACCCTTAATGAGACTAGTCAATTAATCAGGGATGAATCATACAAACAAGGTTTGTAGGCATCGTGTTGCACATTATATTTGCACTGTTCCACAGATTTATGTATTTACAAACAAATTTTAAGTGTTTTTTTTTTAATACCTGTGAAACGGTGTCTTGGAGAGACTGACATTCTCTACTACAGTTCGTTTTATGGCACTAATTTTTGTAAAAACAGTTACTATAAAGCTACCTAAAATCAAAATAAATGGGAAAATCTAATAAGCAAGAAGTTATTTTTGCCTGTAAATTGCAACTGTTGAGAGTTATCTGAGGGACAGTTATGGTAGTTCATTTATTAGCGATCTAACAATAATAAAACAAACTGCAGTGATCTATTGTCCTGAAGTCTGAATTAAGCAAACACAAATTCTGTAGTATACATAAAGCATAGAGATCACTGGTAAGTTCATTTAGTATTCTACTCAGTTCTGTGACTAGCCTCCTATTCAGAGGAGCAGATGTAAGCCTAAAGGAAAAGAGATGCCATAAATGATGTTTGCTTACTGTTCAACAGACAGACAGAAGACCTACAGAACTAAAACCCTCTCCAAGCACTGTTAACTTTCTATCATAGAAACGTCCTCACTGGAAAGCTGTGCAAGATTTAAAGCATCTTGCTGTTAGAATTCTAATCGGACCTAAAAGGTATAAAATGATATCCCACACAACAAAGGGGAAAACTATACATTTTACAGAGGCATGGACAGTAAAGAAACATGAAGAGCATTTAGTGCACAACATACAAATCATCAGCTATAAATATTTCATGTTTTGCTGCTTTTGTTTTAATGTCGAAATAGAACTTTTTTCATTAGCTCTAATCAGTCTCTGCATTTACAGCAACTCACTGACCTGGGGCTGGTAGCCAATGACGCTGATGCACCTTGGGTCGACGAAGGTGATGACTCCATCAGAATTGTGCCTAGACAAGAACTCAGTTGGGACTGACATGCCATTCATGTCCATGCACACTGGAGAACTAGTTACCTAGGACCAACGAAGTCCACAGAACAGTCGTCTTAAGCCAAAGTTGATTACATAGCTAAAGAATAAAATCTGTTGGCAGACTGCTAACTACTGAAGAAGTCATAAATAAAACAGCAGCATGAATAAATGACACAGAAAAGCCTTTAGTCTAGTTTGCAGTGCAAATATCTCACCCCACAGCCCATATCCAGGCTTAACGGCACCGCAGGAAAACAAACACACCAGAAGTTCCCAACAAGGAGGGATAGCAGTATGGCTGGATTCATCTCACTCTGTGGGACCACATTAAAGTTTGACATCTTGGTTCCTACCCTTGTCAACCAAGAATGAGAGACTTCCAGAGGACAATGCAACCCACCCATTTTAGGATGGGAGGGTCAGTCTCTGTAAGAGGACAACTCATTATCCGTAAACATATCCAACAGGACTAGCTCAGACCAACACTCAACTTCCAGGTTCAGAGAATCTGAACAAAATTCCCCAGAGACAGAGGTAGGTGATGATACTGGACCAGCAATGGCTGCTCACAGTGAAAAAACACTTCTGTAAATGCTCCTCAAAGCTCAGAGATAATGATGGCATTTTCAGTTCTCTGCCTGAAACCTTTGCAATCAGGCCACTTCACGTCCATTCATTCCTACTGGGGCTACAAATGAGACCATTGTTTTTCTTGCAACTTTCAGAGCCATCTCTGTTAACAAGATCCCAATGAAAAAGAAGCAGAATCTCATTTGTTGCTGTCTTGAAGTAGATTAACAAGTTAACTGTATGCCAGATTTCAATTTGCTGTTACAGGGCAGAGTTTATAACTTGCACACCTTGGCTCCTTTGTGATGAAATCCATCCCCAGAGCCTCCTCTTGCCCTCTCTCACATACCCTGCTGGCTCTTCTAACATAACAGATGTTTTGACACTCCACATGTTACTAATGTGATTTTCTCAGAAATCATCTTTCTTTGGCAGCTGTAACATATGAATCTCCATAACTTCGTTCTCTCCATCAGTGGAATATATTACCCTCGATTATAAAAGCATCATTAACCTAAAAAACATCATGCAACGCTTTTGTAGCTCTGCTATTACAACGGAGACACGTTCTGCAGAAGTGCTAACACTTGCAGTAACATGCAGGCTGTTCACCTCAAATAAGATGGGTTTGGCACCTGTGCTCTAATGAAAGGGTCATTCTATGTTGTAAGAAGGAGTGATGCCATCCTACCAGATGGCAACGAGTGCAGGCCAACTGGAGATCAAGCAGGAGGCTCAAACACGTTCACCCATGGCAGAATTCCCAGACTGGGAAGATAAAAATTAGGCTCCCTGCTGCAGTGAAGGAGATTCACCACGACTGGTCTAGCTCCCACTCAGAACTCTTGTCAGCAATGGACAAAGAAAGAAAACGTATTACATCAATTGCAACCATCTGGACAAAAAAGAAGTAGAATTTTATTCTCACAGTTCCCTCAGCTGCCATCACATCGGAATGCACACTACAATACACACTGAGAATAAAGCTCTTTGTGTAGTGCCTCTTGACTGCCTTATCTTTACCATTTTCAGAATAATTCCTGCAATCACAGTTTTTCAAGCAGTTGATTAGCCAGAAAGAACGAATGAATGAAAGAATAGCAGGGAGCATGCCACTGGCTTTGGGAGCCACTTGAATCCAGCATCTGCAGCACCTGTACTGCCATGTTTCTCAAAATCTAGAACATCCCAGCCCTAGAGAACAGCAGCTTTGTACAAGCTCATGCTCCAGAAGCATCTTTGCCACTGTTGTTGGGTTAAATACACATATCTATCAAAAACACTTTTTCACTTTGCTCTGTTGACATGTTCTAAGCAAGTCCTGTCCATGGCAGGGCAGTTGGAGCTAGGTGATCTTAAAGGTCCCTTCCAACCCAAGCCATTCTACGATTCTATAAATCACTGGCTGCACACCAACATCAAGGCACTTCATATTTTGGAGGCATGTTAAGAGTCACAGTCTAGTATCAGAACTTTGTGCAAATCCTTTACAACTAAAGCACAAGACTGATTATGCTTTCAGAAGTAGTTTATATAAGCAAAGACTGGCATTACCTGAAGCCTTCCTATTGCCACAAGGCAATATTTACTACCTTGTCCCACATCAGCATCTTCTTCTGGTATAGTCATTCCTAGAATAAAAGTTAACAAATATTGTTATAATTAGGAAATTTGGATGAGCAGAGATGCTGCTGGTCTGGTTCTATACTACTCTAGACACTCTAAATCATACAAAATAACCTTGTCTTCTCTAGGATTTAGGCATTATCTCTGGGTTCAGAGCAGATGATCCTTCCCAGTCGTGCTTGATGCTACATATCACACATGCATATACAGTACCCATGGCAGCAATTTCTGCTGCAGAATACAAAGCAGATACAAAAATTCCATTATACACTGTGATGGACAGTAACATTTCCATGCGTACTGCTCTGCAGCATGTTACTAGAACCATGTGGTCATTTAATATGGTCAGTGAATGCACACTATGTTCAGTTTTCTTTGTGAATAATATATTGTAATAAGCCTTAAAAACAAGGCACAGCCTAGATTATTCATTAACTTCATACTCATAGTTAACAGCCAGTTTTACTTTTTTCTATAACGGATTATATCTGGGTTGTTACGTCGAAGGCCTGAAAAAAATGCAGATGCTTTGCTAACAGTGCTTGTTCCAGTTGTGTAACAGGAGTAACTACTATAAACACAGGAATAATTTCAAAACATACATGTGTACTGTTTTCCATCTCAGTGTTTCAGAAATAGGAACGTTCAGATTAGCTCTGTTTACTTGCTATTTGGCTACGCCTTTAGTTAAGGCTATTTCCCAACTCCAGTTTTGAGATACCAATTTCCTATGAAGCATTTCAAAAAACATCTTCCAAGAGTGACACTGCTGACTTATTTTAAGCGATCTGTAAACTCTTTCACAAGGCTTTTCAAGGAATTCAGTCACAACAGGCAGTGAATCATTTATGAGGCACTTTAAAGCATTAATGAAATTAATTGCAAAGCAGCTACCAATTGTGAAACAACAGCCACTTTATTATCAGGATTTTTAATTCCCAATGTAAGTCAATCTTTGGACCGTGCAGAGGATGATAGCGTACAACTTTCTTAAATGACGCCTCTGAAAAATGACTATAAATGCTGCTGAATGAAGCATTCTCTGAAGGAAGTTATTTTGTACCAGAATAATTGAACCTTATCTGACAAATAGTTTCTAAATAGTTCTCTACCGGTATTTTTCAGTTCTCACTGAGCTATACAATAAAATAAAATATCTAAAGTATGAACAAAAAAAATCCCATATTTTTGTATAATATATTCAAACTTTATTTGCAATGGAATTCACAATTTTGGGGGTGTGACTTCATTTGCCAACAAAATCCAACATTAGGATTTTGTTACGGGATCTCAAGAACTTTAGAAAGGAGGAGCATTACTGTCCCTTTTAACAAGTGCAAAATTGAGGTGTAGCATGAATTTCAACGTCACACACTACAAGAGCTGGGCAAAACCCCCTTCTATTCTACTCAATGATCTTGCTATGCAGAGATACAAATTTGGCCCTAAATAACTCCTTAGCTTCTAAACCTATGTGATAATCCTCACCAAACAACAGAACACCCCTCTGAAGTGTTTTCTTAGAAGCTGTACAAGAAGATCGAGGTGGCAGTATGTGACTTTATGAGTACATTGTAAGAAATTAATCATTAAACACATAAGTTACAAATAACATTGGGTGGAATGACGTGTTATTTTGCAATTAAACATCATTTTGTGCTTCCAACAAAGGTCCCTCTGTGGGTTACTTGGGACCGAACTTTCACTCGAGATTCTTCACCTGATTTAGAACATCCTTGAAACGAATACAACCTGCATTTACCCTCCCTGAGAGACTGTTCTGTATTGCCTGCAGTTTATTGGGTCCTTCAAAGCAGTTAAATTACAAAGCCTTGTTTCAGTATTTCACACACCACCACTCCAGCCTCTTTTCCACTATACACTAGGCAAACCACAAACGAGATCCCAAACACAAGTAAATCCCATGCTCTGAGACACCAGCATACCATGGAGAGCATAAACCACTGACATGAAACTAGTTGAGAGAATCATATTACCGAAGTATTTTGTTTTCCTTCCTTGCTGTGTTTACACACAGTTATTGCTTCAATATAAGACTTAGTAATTAGCTAATGACAGCTCTAATAAGCAGAAGAACTGAATTTGGCTTTCTCTTGAGAAAAAGACAGAAAATTACCCTGAAAGAAGCAGCAGTGAACGTATCTACTCAAAATTGTGTCCGCTTAAGACAAAGTTTTGGCAGACACGTGGCTGCTATCTGCTCACATACATGTAGACCACAGGGATGGTCAAGCTTCCAAAACTAAACCTAGACTCCTCTACATGAGCAATTTTTATTTTAAATAGGTAGAAAACACTTCACTGAGAATTGTGTGCAGTTGTAGGGATAAGGAGTGGAAGCCAGCAATTTCAACTGACAACGTTGTGACTGAAGGTGTGAATCGAGATCAGGACAAATTAAATGGCACAGTAGTTTAGTAAGGAGCACAAGGACATTGACTCTCTGTGAAAGAAACGCAGCAGTGTACAAAAACAACCATGGAAAAGAGGAAAGCAGCACCGGAGCAACTGAAGAGTTGACCAAACTGACTGGAAGATGGCAGCAGGGACTGCATCCCTTCAGGAGACAGATGAGGAGTCTCTCACTCCTCAGTCCTAAACTCCACACCAGGGCAGACCTGCAAGTTCACCCACCAGCCAAAAGAATAAACATTTTAAAAGCTGGTGCCTGAAGCAATCACAGTTACATTCAGATAGTTCAGTACAGGTGGTCTGATTTCAAAGACAGTGAGTGATTCTAGGTCCTACCACCTTCAGAGGATTTTCTTGGTGGATGGCTGGTACTTCTGGGAATCAGGCCACTAAACACAGTGCTGCTTTAAGGAAATAATTCTAGGCATTCTAGTTGGACAACCTTAACCAAAAGATCCCTTTTAAATGGAGTTTTCCATTTGAGAAGGACAAATTTGAAGTATTTTCCCTTGACTTCAAAAGCTTTTTCAATCGTTTCCTTAGCGGCACAGCGTATGCAAAGGACAGCAAGGATACTCAGCTGGATGGCTTCCACCTCACATAATCTCTTTTCTGCAGCTTTCAACAACGCTTTCCTTTTTAGGAACTTGGTCCATGCTTGCTACTGCCCAAATAAACTCAAAGCAACATAAACAATCTCCAAAATTAAATCTAGCTAAGAAACATCATTTCTGATGTCACTCTGTTGGCCAGGGAGGCTGCTCTAATTTTCACCTTTTTTTTTCCCCAAAATGGATTACATTTGGCCTGTATAACACACTGGCAAATGTATTAGTTGGGTTATACCGCAAGACATTCTATGAATAAAAAACAATCTGCCTGGAATTAATCAATACATGACCCAGTGAATTGCTAACCATTCCCTAGAAGGGCCTAGAGTAAAAAATATGCCCAAGTGATTGTCTGCTCACCTGCAATGTAGGTGCTACTACTGACAGCATTCCATTGAGGATTTATTAGAGAGTTATTAAAGAATTAGAGAATTCTTTATTCTTTTGCTGATAGTTACAAAGATTCAACTGTGCTGTGCTTATATGGGAGAATGCGTTTGTAGAAGAGATTTACTTTTTCTTTAGCATACTTCCTAATGAACATACTCCAGTACAGACAGGTAAATAAAGATACGTGCACTGCACTTAATACCGGTTTGTCCAGCTCTTAACATAATGTAATATTGCTCCTTAACATCATCAAGTATCACCAGTATCTCCCAAAAAAGTTGCAAAACCCTTGAGGAAAGCAGTCATGAAACTGATCTTCAGGGGGCATCAACAAAATAAACATGCATCAGTTATTCACATTCTTTACGTATATCCCTGAGAGAGGCTTTATTTCTCAATACCAAATATATGCTCCTCTTGAATAATAAATATAGTGTTATGCTTGTTCAAGTTAATATCAACAATTTGCAAAGCTAAGCCTGCAACTGAGCATCACAAATACAACGCTGGGCCGTTAGAGGTTATATTTAATTTCCAAGTGTCCTTTATGCCAGCAAACAGTTTCCCACAGGGCAATGACATGTGTTTGTTCAGACACAAGGAACTTTTTAGTTCTCCCAACGAGCTTCCAGTTGGCTCTAACAACAGACCAGCTTCATTTTCTGCCTTCTTTCTCTGTCCTTCTGCCTCATGTTTTCTGCGAGACCCAGAACAGTGTTAGTGGATTTGTGGTTTAAATACACTACACTCAAAAATAAATGATTTATGAGTTTTTAGAAGGATATAATTTAAGTGTCCAGTGGTCACTTAGAAATCCCCTGTTAACGCCTACCTCCATCAGAACCATTACTGATAGTTACACATCTGTGCATGAAACAGCACTGTGAGACTTGATCTCTCATGAACAACAATGGAAAAAGGCTTTAAAAAAAAAGGCTGTGGATGTTTACAGCATACCAAGGAAAAATCTTGTGAAAAAAATCCCCCAAACCCTTAAATTCTTCCTTAAAAAAAAAAAAAAAAAGCCTTAAAAATGACAGCACTGCAAAGAATATTTAAGCAACTATTTTGTTTTGTATTGGAAGAGGGAGTACTTTGCACAAACGTCCAGATTCTGGCCAAAACTTTAAAATAACCTAATAGCTTTGGCATGCTGTGGTTAAGACGTTACCGTAAGTCTGACTTGGAAGACTAAAATGTTTCTTTTTTTAGATAAAAAATTAAGGAGAAAAAAAAAAGATTTCAACTTTATTTAAATTTAACATTATTCTGGGACTTTTTATTTTAAGTTTTCAAAATAAGTATCTATCTAAGCCTTTTCTTCACTATGTGTTTTTCTGCAGGTCCTGGCTTTGATTTACAGAAAACTAGCAACATCCTGACTGTATCTTCTCTCTCCACCAAATATTTTCCATCAATTGTTATGGCATGAAAAAAAATATTAGGAAAATATCATATGGACCACATAAGATTCATTTCCTTCCAGGAATAAGATGCTCAGAGGGGAAAAAAAATGAAAAGCAAATGCTTACTGCTTAAACTGAAAACTGAATGATCAGGAGAAGGTCAACATGTCTCAGTTTTGTGAGTGGTTATGAACTTGAAGCACTGTCTAGGCTAAGGATCACAAGCAGCTTCACTGGGAAGAGAGGGACAAAGGCTGGAATTGGTGCTCAGCCAGTTTCAAACAAGGGGTCTTCTAATCCAACAGTGCCCTGTCATTATTTAATCTAACATACACTCCACAGAAGACATGAACAGCAGAACTGATCGGAATGTCAATCTGGAATATCTGATTCCTTTTACCTTTGACTTCTACACAAAATTTACCTCGATTACTTGAGGCCAACATATAATTTATGGGGATATAAGTGTGCAGGTATCATATGCCGGGTTTTGCATTTGAGCTTAGTTTTACTCGTCTTGCAGGCACAACAGAGGAAAATGAACAGACATGTTCCTCAAAGTGGCTTGGTCTTCTTGTCGTGGCTCACTCACCCAGATGCAAACATGCTGTATTAAGGGAACAGCAAAACAGCTCCTTTTCCAGGGGAACACATGGAGAGCACAGGCTGTAGCACTCCTGGGTCTCCTTTGCTAAGAAATGTGGGAGAAGCAGGTGATGCCCATGGGTCCTGCACGCTCTGAGCTCAGTTCTATGCAGAGGACACAGCATGATGCTTCCTGTTTTCTCTCTCATTTCTCAGTGAAAAAAGGGGCTAAATGCAGCCTGCCAATAAGGGAGCCTTGCTGCTCCATAAAATTAAGAGAAAAGGAAAAAAAAAAAGGTAGATATGCAGAAGTGTTCTCATGCTGACCACAGACCTAAGCCATAACAGAATTTGCTTTCTACTTTAGATCTCCCAAAAAAAAAACAGTCCTTAAAAAATGCCACTACACTGATGCCAGCTGTCTGTAGTTTGTTTTCACCTGTTTAAAGTACTCAAATTACTTAAGAGATTTAGCATAGACTACTCACAGCAGCAGCCTTGTCAAACCTGATAGTCTATCATACTAATAATGATCACGGAGCAGTTCTTCTCTTGTCTATATTAAAGCACCCACTTGGCAATTGAAAAATAAATTAAAATGATCCTTTCCATCACAGCTGTTTAAAAACGCAGCTATTTAGTACAAACCCATTTATTCAAAGAATCCAGAGACGATGCAAAGGCCACAGGCTTGCTACTCTCTACCTGATTTGAACAAAAGTAATTTCATTACAGGGTAGAAAAGCCTTAGCAAATTCAATTACTGCTACAGTTACTTCATTTGCTTTGCAGACTATGGTTGAATTACCATTGGAAATGAGAACAAATGCAGTGATGTTGCCACTTATTTACCCAAATGTACTGGAGATCAATTCAGCCCATGGATACTCCCATTCAGCTCCGAAAGTCAATGGATACATGACAATCACCAACACAAGGTGGGGAAGACTGGCAGGGCAAATAAACACTCCTGAAAGAGGCCCTGATTCAGTACTATATGCCCTGAAAATGGCACTCAGGCATGACTATTAACGATTAACAATTTGAATGGTAACATAAAAGACCACTGAAATTCCACATAAGGCTGTCAAAACCGAAAATGTCCCTTAGGACTGCGCTATATTTTGGAGATATTAACATTGTGGAGGAGTGCTGGGATATCATAAGGGAGCACCATGTGATTTTGAGGAGTGTAGTAATAGAAATGGGATGAAATTCAACATTACTAAATGCATAAGCATGCACTTTGGGACTAATAACAGTCATAAACTACAGAAACAGGAACGTGGTGAAACTTTGTATTACTAATTGAAAGATCACACAATTCAAAGCTATTTTTGCTATGAACTGGAAGACCTTGAGTTGACAACTGAGAAAAAGGTAGCCTGATAAGCGCATTAGGCGATTAAGGATGCCAGCAGGAAGCACCATACAAAAGAGAAGTATGCCATATCATATACTGCCAGTCAAGGCAGAAAATACCATTTTCATTACACATCACTACAATCTCATCTGGACAAGAGCGCAGAGCTCTGGTGACCCGCATTTTGAAAAGTTCAGTGAAAACATGAACAAGTGCAGAGAAAAGACACAAGGGTAAAAAACAGAGAATGCACTGTGAGAATGGAAATCAGAAGCGAGCTGGTTTAATTGTGCAAAGTCAAGGTTGGCAGGATATGACCTCCTTCTGGAAATGCACCGAAACAATACAGACACACACAAAGCAGGAAAACTCCTGCCTGATATTCAGTGCAACATAGTCTAAGAATATACTGGCATAAACTTCCCATAAACTAATGAGGACTGGAAATCAGAGAGATTGCTAAGCATGGGAGAGCAGTGAGGTTTTTGAAGAGCTGGAGAGGGGGAAAACACCTCACGAAAGCAAACTGGAACTTACAAAGTGATAGCTGGCAACGAGGCACTCAAAGATCCAGAAGATCCTTTTCATCCCATGCTCCTACACTGCAGTGCCTGCTCCTCTGCAGAAAGGGCGACTGGAAGGCATGTACTGCTGATGTTGTAACCCAGTGCGGACATGAGTTCATGCATTTGCAGCTCTGCATCAGCAACATACCCCAGAAGGGTTAGATCTCTTCAAATGTCCTATAACATGTAGCAAGCTTTTCATTCAAGCTAAGCAAGAAGCTAGAAGAAATCTCATTTGACCTGCACCTTTCTGAAGAGATGTCCCATATATCAAGACTGAATTCAGTTAGGTTTGGAATTACCAATACAAAAGTTAATTTCTGTGGAAGAAAACAAAAAATCCCTTTCATTTTCATAGCACAATTTATACACACTGCGTTCTCTTTTCAGATAGAAATGAAATTGAAACATTTTGACTCCTACAGCACACTGAAGTATATCACATCCTATCAGCAACAAGAGGGGAGGTTTTCCTCTTCTTCCAAAACTGCAATTCAGCAGGATTCACATCCGCATGCTGTGTCTGCACACCACCATACAGACTTGGTGCAAACCACCTCTCAACATTCATAAGCCCTGAATAAATGTGATTTATGCTTGCGGCATACGACCGCAAAAGGGTAGGGCAACTCATGGTTTGATTCATGCCAGCAGGCGCTGCCGTATTGCAAACAGCCTCTTCAACTACTGCAAATGCCGAGGTCATCTAATCCAGTTCATGACGATGTCTGGATGAGCTCCACTGTGTCCTCTCTGCATTTTGCAAAGGTAAATATTCCCATATGTAATACTGAGTTCCAGTAGGTAAATGCTTTTCTCTGCAGTTCAAAGCAATATGCCAAGACTTGTTTCCCAGAAAAACAGCCTAAACCCAGAACTTATCACAAAGACCGAACATTCTCCACTAATACCATCACTTTGAAGTGAGGACTGATGCACCTAAATTGAAATTACACATTTTCATATAAAGGTGCTTGCAACTCAGTACTTAAATATAAAAGCACTAGTTGGTGTTTTCTAGAGGTACAAGTGCTTTGCGTTTATCTTCTTAAATTCAGGCCATTTTTATCTTGGTTTAGCACATCAAAAATTTTTGGCCTCGGCTACTGTAATCCCACATAACCAAGAACTCCACTATTCTCTGTGCCACTACATTGAGAAGGGTTTCACATGGAAGAACGAGGACGCCCTGAGTGAGTAACAATAGCTGATTTCTTGATATCAAAAGCTTCTCAGTATGAGACTGAATGGGTTACTCCACCGAAATTCAGCCTAGTTCTGTACCACCAAGGGATCCTGAGCCAGGTATTCAACTGTCTGACAAGCAGCGCAGTACACACCGCCTTCAAATGAGATAGATACACACCTGCTGGTGGCCAAGCCTTGATATAGCCAGTGCAATGGACAACAGCATACTGCGCTTCCCCTTCTTTTACTGGGCCGAGGCCATTCCTAAATGAAAAGGAAACACAAATTGTCATGTTGATGGATATGCAGAATAGCTCTATGTTTTTAAACTATGACTACTAATGATTTACTGATATTCGTTAAGTTATGTTAGAAATAACCAACCATCAACCTAGAGTTCTGTACAATGTCAGGACCATTACAATGCTATTCAAGCCGTGCCTATTTTCCATAACATTTCTCTGAGAAAGACAATGAGGCTTATTTCAGAGACAGAGCTGGTTAAGACAAAGAAGTTGAGTGACTTCTGCAGGGCTTGCAAAAAGATCCAGTGACTCCACCATAGTTTAATTTATTGGTTGAGTTCTCCTCTCTTGAGACCCAGTGCTATTTTACGCTGTGTGCTAACACAGATGTTTGACCAGGTAGTACTCCTTGAGTGAGCATTAGTCCAGGAGAAATGAGACTGCTTATGACAACTAATTACTATGATAATTTAAATAAGAGTACCTGTATCTTTTTCTCATGGTGGTTATTCTGTTCAGAGGTAAATGATCCAGAGGAGCATTTCCACACCTAAAAGTAAATTCATATTTGAAATGGCTCAAAAACGAATGTAAAACACCCAAGGTGAAAATGTATTTTAAGATTTTTATTAGTATATATAAGTATACAATAATGTATATTTATTTCTGACAAAGTTTTCTTCATGTTTTTTTTTTCATGTTTTCTTAGAACTGCTGCTTCCACAGGTTAAGCATTTTGGGTGTGCTACAAATATTTTCTTTATTTTATAAAGAAAAACAGAAGAGACTACAAAAAGATTCCCTCCCACCTCTTCAAAATACTATAAAACAAGGGTGAAAACTAGAGAAGAGTATGTCAGGCCCCCAGATATCCACACAAAACAATCTCCGTGTTCCAGTAGCTCCTCTGGACAGAGCATTTCGACTGCCATAGACAAGCTACAATGTTAGTAGATATTAATCTAACGTTTGCAAGAGCAGACTATTTACACTGTCAAATACCTTTGTTTAACACTTGTTCATGTATATTTTGTGGTAATTCTAACTATACTGTATAATTTTAACAATCCACTTGAACCTAAGTAAACAGTTTGAAGGGTAAAACCAGTTCATTTTCAATGGAAAAAAAGAACAAAAGAAGTAATCACAAGGAAAGTTCACATTATTTGAGGCTCATTTTTCCCACAAGTTTTTTTTAAATTATTATTATTCTTTTTTTATTCTTTTTTTTTTTTTTTTTTTTTTTAATACCAGTCACTGCCAAGGAGAAGGAATGAACAATTAAAATACAATTTAGGATTACAAAAACATGTATAAAATTACTCTCATGCACTGGAGTTTACAGAATCAGAGTGCTAGGAAACAACTGCAATCTGAAACGTTGGCTTTAAAAGCTGGGGAACAACTGCAAGCAGGACATTAGGCCTGGTTTTCTTTGCACAAAAAAGTCGTCCTCACATGCCCACTATGTGCAGCTTAGAGGAAGAGAAAGCAATGTTTCAAGGTCTCTCTGACAGGCTGTATTTCTTCCCCCTCAGTAAAGGGCAGGAAAAAGGAGGTACAGCTTTGAAGTCTCATCTTCCCAGTATGAAGTATATAAACCCCTTACAAAAGCACCCAGAAGCCATACATTCAGCTTCCTCACATGACTGGAAGAATTCGACCACATAACCAAAGTACAGGGATCTGTTTCAATGTGTCAAATGTTTTGCTTTCAGTGTTTCACTCCATAACAAATTTTGCATTATCTGTTTTCAATACACATACTGGATATAGGCTGCAGATGCAATTATGTACTTTCCCCCCCTAACTACATAGAAACTTATTGCAACAGTAACAGGCATTTTATCCCCTTATACAACACCAGAAATGCCCATAAGCCCTAGTCAGAAGCACTGGGCAGGCAGATACCTTTAAAGAAGCCCAAGCAATGCAGAATTTGGAAAATTGCAAAATAAAAACCCTCTAACAATTACTCATTTATCTAGCATCAACCAGCTGACATTTGGTTAATTCATACCAGGCTTAGGTTAATTCTTACATAGCTGGCAGGTTTGTGACTGAATTCCTGTTTGTCTTCAAAATTCTTTTAATATTACTGGTTTGCTGAAAAAATACACAGAGCTGGGCTTTCATTACACTTGCGAAAGCTTTGTCTTCAAAGTATTGATTTGAATATTTTGACTAGAAGAGACAATAGCCTGCATTCCAGGGGTGAAGTTATGAAGTTCTCTGGCGAAAGCATCCTACACCCCACACTGACAAAAATAACTGCAACACACAAATGAGGTGCTGTTTTATCATTAATCATAAAGGAAGACAGGTTTCAGTTTCACTCCAGTTCCAAAAGCAAGTATTCTGGAAATGCTTAATGGGAGTGTGTCATTACAGCTTTGTTTTTTAAGCAAGGTCAAATTAGTGCAAGAAAATGTCTGAAGTCTAATCTGAGATGGGACTGGAACCATTGCAGAACACAAGGTAAATGCGTACCTCATCCTGCAAATGAAAGAGCGCCTTGATCCCATGCACATTCTCATTGAAGACTGCTGACCTTCCTTCTTTACTGTTCCAGTCTTCAAGTCCAGGATTCGCCCTAGAAAAGCCAGGGAGAGCAACTGATGTTCAGTACATAAATTCAATTCCATTTACTACAAACCAAGACAACAATAAGTTCACAAGCTAAATGCTATTAACCTAGTTAGGGGAAAAAACATGAACAAAAAATTTTTATCCTGGTCTCACATTGGTTATGTGCTGGCTTAACTAACGACTTCAGTGAAGCTGACTCTGATTCACAACAGTGACAGCTTTTCTCAGTTGGCCCAACATCAACTACCAAGGTAGGGTCAACGTCTGGAGGCAGAGATGACAACAGCAAGCATAACTTTTTGACTCTTTACCAGAACTGTGGATAAAGCAACAGGCATCATACCCCTGACAGCTGCTCCTCTTTAAAAAAACCTTGTGTCTATTGAGAATGCTTTCACCATATGTGCACGTGGAGATAAGTGACGAGTGGTGTTCCTCAGGGGTCAGTATTGGGGCCGGTGCTGGTTAACACCTTTGTCAGTGACACCAACAGTGGGATCCAGTGCATCCTCAGCAAGTTTGCTGACGACACCAAGCTGTGTGGTGTGGTCCACATGCTCGAGGGAAGGGATGCCATCCAGAGGGACCTTGACAGGCTGGAGAGGTGGGCCTGTGAGAACCTAACGAAGCTCAACAAGGCCAACTGCAAAGTCCTGCACATGGTTCGGGGCAATTCCAAGCACAAGTACAGGCTGGGTGGAGAATGGATTGAGAGCAGCTCTGAGGAAAAGGACTTGGGAGTGCTGGTGGATGAGAAGCTCAACATGAGCCGGCAATGTGAGCTGGCAGCCCAGAAAGGCAACCGTATCCTGGGCTGCATCCAAAGAAGGGTGGCCAGTAGGTTGAGAGAGGTGGTTCTGCCCCTCTACTCTGCTCTCGTGAGACTGGAGAGTACTGTACTGCATTCAGCTCTGGAGCCTCCAACATAAGAAGGACATGATCTGCTGAAGCGAGTCCAGAGGAGGGCCACGAAGATAATCCGAGGGCTGGAGCTCCTATGAAGACAGGCTGAGAGAGTTGGGTTTGTTCAGTCTGGAGAAGAGAAGGTTCTGGGGAGATCTTACAGCAGTCTTCCAGTACCTAAAGGGGGCCTACAGGAAAGTGGAGAGGGACTTTTTACAAGGGTGTATAGTGATAGGACAAGGGGCAATGGATTTAAAGAGGGGAGATTTAGATTAGATATAAGGAAGAAATTTTTTACAGTGAGCGTGGTAAAACACCGTAACAGGCTGCCTAGAGAAGCTGTAGATGGCCAGGCTGGACAAGGCTTTAAGCAACCTGATCTAGGGGAAGGTGTCCCTGCCCATGGAAGGGAGATTGGAACTAGATGATCTTTAAGGTCCCTTCCAACCCAAAACATTCTATGATTCTGTAACACCACCTCACATATTCAGAGCTGCAGTAACGGTGAGGAACACCAAAGACCAAGCTTTTCTCCTTGATGATGAGATACAGGATAGGTATAGTACATACTGAGCAGCACTTGTGTCGTGGTCCTTTCAAAGTTGATTAAAAATTGATGTGTCAGCATATTTTTCGTTTTCAGGTGGACCCTGCTGATCAGTATTAGCTGACTACAAACCTCAGAAACTCATCTCACAGACATCGCACAGAGAAGGGATGACAGCTACCAAGGCATTTCAAGAGAGGACAGAATGAAAGGAGCACTAAGCTGACACTCCTACACTAAGTTGGTGGAGATCCTTATGAAAAAACAAAGGCAGCAAGGCAGTAACAGATTAATCTTTCCATTCTCCTGAGACAAAACAGAAAGCAGGGATTACTACCTATAGGTTCAGATCAGTGATGGCAGGGTACAGGGTATCACCTAGAATCCTACTGTTTATCACCAAAGGACTAACAGAATGGACTTTTGCATATACAGCTCAATTGCTAACAGATGACTATAAAATCTTGCACATTAGTAGCACAGACTACAAATGAATCACTGGCCCAGATCCACAATGCTTCAGGGCTGGTTACAGCCACAAAAGTGACAGTGGGCAAGAGAAATGCAGTGGAACAGCTGCTAGACAATTAAATGACTGCCACCAGTGCTGATGACACATGGCTGTGAGCAAACCTATGTGTTTAAGGTGGGTACCTTTCAATAACTGAAACAATATAAGCCAAAGTCTTTACTGTTCTATAACTAGCCAAGTTTACAGCAATAATAGACACCACACTCTGTCTGTACTAAACTGAAGACATCATGCAGAACGCATTCAAAGCTTCCCTCACCAGATTTACCTAAAAGTCTCTGTCCAAAACTTAAGTTCTGAAATAAACCTACTGCCAAACATTAATTTCAAAATTACTTTAATTGAAAATACTTACCTCTATCCATGAATGGGAATAAAATCACTACAGAACAGTTTAAAGATCAGTATTTTAGATAAGAAACTAGACAGCAGCATTTTATTCTTAAGGTACGCTCAAGATAACTACTTCTGGAAGAAAGCCATCCTTATCAACAGAAGGTTAGACGTCATTTGATGTATCTACAAGGTATATCTCAGATGGTTAAGAAGTTATCAAGCTTGGGAACAATTCCTAAAGATGCTTCAATTCAAAGCACTGGGCTATATATTAATATTGATGTATGATTCAGGTGTGAGCTGGGAAGAAATACCATATTTCCCAGTTTAGTTACACTAATCCTATGATGTAGGATGGATCTGAGGTTCAAACGCTCCCTTTCTCTGCATTACAGAGTCTCTGCATCTCCTTTGCTATAGCCAAAGCCACAGTCTATTTCCCCATCCCCTCAACTAATCACACAATTTAGAGAAATAAAATATCCTCAGGCAGGAGGCAAACTGAGTTACAAATGAAGGCAATACATGACAAAGTAAATAGAATATACGTGGAGGACCCAATGGCTGTCCACACGAGCATGCAAGCCAAATCAAACCATTAAAAGCATCTTTCTCTTTGGACACAATAACTGTCATACACGTAAACAAAAGATGAGTTGTGGGGTTTTTCCTATTCCAATACAAATTCTTAAAGTGACACTAATAATCCAAAAGCAGTGACAGTAAATGTAACTCAAACAGCTAATAGAAACTTCTCAGTTTTTATCATCTAATAGCATCTATAAAAATAAGTATACTTCACAATTACGTGGCCACTAAGCCCAAAATTGCTGACACATGTTCCTTTGGCATGTCTGGAATCCTCAACAACAAAAGTCTTAGTTTTTAAACTTAGCCTTTTGTTTTGCAATGTCTTAGAAATATGTACCCGATAACAAACAGTATTCTAAATTTTGCCTCAACTTACAAAATCACTGCAAGGGGTACATGGGGGTATGAGTCAGAGAAATGTTTGGTGCATAGATATTACGACAAAGCTCTCTCAGCAGCTTGTTTCAATAGTTCCTCTTGCATGTGTTAACCTCGTAGAGCTCTGACTCTGTGGAGTTGTACCACAGTATTTGTCATGACTTCTTATTGCTGTGACAATCAGTAACTGCAAGAATACAATGTCACCTGGCCTGAAGACAAAAGCCACAGCTATTTCTCCCCAGGCTCCTCACCACTCCACACCTGACTGAGAAGGGGATGATCTCACACCACTCTTCTTCTGCCGGCATGGAATTACAAAATCCATCTTCTACCTGCTTCAATAGCAACCACAGTTCACTGCAGCTGCTCATGTGATGGACCTCAGCAGGTCCCACACTGCAGTCAAGCAAACTGGCATAAATCACAACTCAGTGTCACAGACAGCTCAGTTCAAGGAGGTGGCACGCTCAGATGATAGCTCTGTCCCAGAACCATAAAACATTCAAATCTCTGTGTGTTCCTGAATCTTTTACACTGATGCTGCTACCTCAGTGATAAATGCTCATTTAGGTTTCTCCACAGGATACACACACAAAGTACATCTGATGTTAAAGTTGGCAACTGTATTCTTATTAATAAGAGATATTCTAGGATGCTCTGACAATTTCTGCTAACCAAATAGTGCGCGTGTGCAATTTTTTAATTTCTTCTTCTTGTTTCTTCAGAAGTTTTAACAACCCAGTGCCACCAGCTGGATCCCTTACGAGCTTCCCCATAAAGTGGTAATTGCATGTAGTTCATTTTCGTGTTAAACTTTTCCCCTTTCCAGCTCCAGACACAACCCTCAGACACAGCAAGTGCGGGATGAGTGTCTCCATCACAGCACTACTGTGACTGACTCTGCTGTCTTATTACCATTTACAGCAGCTGCACAACGCAGAGGAAATCAGAGTTTACTATAATGCAAAAGAGAAAATAAGTAAATGGGCACAATGCTTATTAAAACCAGCACATTAATCTCTCTGGTTGTTCTGGGTAAAACTGATAATTTGTTGAAACCTACCCACTACAGTCCCCATTCAGAAGACAGTATTGCTTAAACCTGTAATAAACCAGTTTCCTCTGAGCAGGATTCCACCATGCAACCGAGGAACCTGATGTCAGCTGTAATTACAGGAAAGGGCGACCACAGAGGTGAGGACAATGGCAAGAGATACATTATTCGGGTAAAATTAGAGAAAACATATAAAGCTCTTCCCACTAAAGAGATGAGTTAACAACAGATTCAGGTACTGAGGATACAGGCCAGAAACACTCCCTTCATGTCATACTGCAGCATGTTTTCAAAGATGCTCTAAAAACATTCTCATAATGGTCAAGGGGACAAATGTTCATACTGGCACTGTTATGCCCCTTGCGTGTGCAAACAGTGAACAATTATGCATGACCCTTCCCTTTTTGGATCTCCAGTTGCTACTGTGAATGTTCAAATACCTTTTCTGTACTTGCAATGCCTGAGATGAACCTAAGCCAAGGACTGGCCCGGGCCCACTGAAGTTCATGGGGTTTCAAATCTGGGAGTTTGGCTCTAATCCATCTTTACATAATAGCACCAGCCTGTTAGAAAATTTGTTCCTCCATGTTTACGCACTGCATGCTAAGGTTTATAGCCTGGTAATCAAACACAGTCTGTTCTTTGTTACTTCTTTCAGTT